CTTTATAATAAGGTATTCATTTTGTGGGAATACAAGACATACAAGACCTTACTATCATATTGAACATGAGAGAGAATTGCAAAAAACAATTAAAAATGTATAGCGACATTTTTTTTTAATTATTAATCTTTTTGGAAGCATGCAGCATTTTGCAAGGACAAAACTATGCAAGTCTTTAAAGATCTCCCAAAAGCTTCCCGGAAATACACACACATTTTCAGTTCAATAATATGTTGACCTCTGTCTACACAAACCTACAGGTGACCTTTTGGATGTTGAGATTTAAAGGTGCTTAAAGATGAGTAACTTTACTAACGGTGTTGCAGTTTTCTGGGACAATATTTCTCAGCAGAGAAAATGCATTGCATTCTATACTGAAGACTGCGTTAGTCTTGTAGCGAGCACAGAAAGGTTTTAGCGGATGCCAGCAGGAATTTTTCAGGATTATTGAACTGCTGGTAAACAATTTCATATTAAGTGAAACCTGGGAGGGTGTGAGGAGAGGTGTTTTACAGTAGGAAGTGGACCAAAATCTCCAGTTAATGGTGCTTTGTTCTGTTTTATTTTGCCCTGGTGGGAAACTTATTGAATCCAACAGTTTTCACAGATGAAAGGTCTTTATGAACCACAAACCCAAATATACTCGGTGACAAAAAGAGTTAAGCACCCAGATGGACTGTTGGAAATGAAATTAATCTGCCTGTGGTGAAAGGTCATGTGACTGTATTGCAAGGATTATAATATTAGATCAAACGGACAGCAGAGTTGGCAGTATGGGCACACTGGTGGTGCCATGTCAGTAGGGTGTGGCACCCCCTCAAGCCTGAATACATTGGCAGGATTGGTGCTCTCGCCTCAGCGCCACCATACACGGACACGACTGTCATATCTGTGGTAATGCAGAACCGACATTCATCACTGAATATCATACGATGCCAGTCCATGCCTTCCGGTTACGGAACCACTCCAAACACAGCCGTCTCTGCGCTGGTGTTAATGGCAGCCTGTGGATGGGACGGTGAACCCATAGTCTGGCTGACGCCAGACGTCGAGACACGGTGCAGGATGACACGGGGTGATGTGGAGAGTGCAGTTCCTGTGTCCGGATGGCAGGTGCAGATGTCATGAGGTTCTGTAATGCTTGGCTCAAAAACGACGATCCTCCCTTGGTGTGGTCTGTCTTGGGCAACGGAAACCTTTACAGTGTGTGTGGGTGCCCTCACGTGCCCATTGGTTCCAACATCAAGCAACTATGACATCTGCAAGTCAAGTCAAGTGGCTTTTATTGTCTTTTCAACCATATACAGTAATAAAGTACATAGTGAAATGAGACAGTGTTCCTCCAGGTCCATGGTGCTACTTATAACACTACATCCACACAGGACTACATGAAGTGCAAGTGTGCAAGAAGTGCAAACATTGCAAAAACAGTGCGACACAAGACAGTGCAGTATAATAAATAGAAGAGATGACAGTAAGACATGTCTTATGAGTAAGACAGGCTAAGTGTCAAGTGCAAAAGTGCAATAGGTTGTGCAAAAAGTTATTGAGGTAGTGGACTGTGTAAAGGTATGTATGTGTATCAGTCCGGTCTCTGATTGTTCAGAAGTCTGACGGCTTGGGGGAAGAAGCTGTTGCACAGTCTGGCAGTGAGGGCCCGAACGCTCCGGTACCTCTTGCCAGAAGGCAGGAGGGTGAGGAGTGTGTGTGAGGGGTGTGTGGGGTCCCCCACAGTGCTGGTGGCTTTGTGGATGCAGCGGGAGTGATAGGTGTCTATGATATAGGGAAGAGAGGCTCAAATGATCTTCTCTGCTGTTCTCACTATCAGCTGTAGGGTGCAGTTTCCATACCAGACAGTGATGCAGCTGTTCAGGATGCTCTCAATAGTCCCTCTGTAGAAGGTGGTGAGAATGGGTGGTGGGAGATGGGCTTTCCTCAGCTTTCACAGAAAGTAGAGATGCTGCTGGGCTTTCCTGGTTATGGAGCTGGTGTTGAGAGACCAGGAGAGGTTCTCCGCCAGGTGAACACCAAGGAATTTGGTGCTCTTGATGACCTCCACAGAGAATCCATTGATATTCAATGGACATTGATCGCTCCGTGCTCTCCTGAAGTCGACAATCATCACTTTTGTTTTGTCCACGTTCAGAGACAGATTGTTGACTTTACACCAGTCCGTTAGCTGTTGCACCTCCTCTCTGTATGCTGACTCATCGTTTTTGCTGTTGAGACCCACCACAGTAGTGTCATCGGTGAACTTGATGACATGGTTTGAGCTGTGCATTGCTGCGCATTCGTGAGTCAGCAGAGTGAACAGCAGTGGGCTGAGCACACAGTCCTGGGGGGCTCCAGTGCTCAGTGTGGTGTTGTTGGAGACGCGGTTTCCGATCCGGACTGACTGAGGTCTCTCAGTCAAAAAGTACAGGATCCAGTTGCAGAAGGAGATGTTCAGGCCCAGCAGGCTCAGCTTTCCAATCAGGTGCAGTGGAAAGACTGTGTTGAATGCTGAACTGAAATCTATGAACAGCATTCGTACATATATGTCCTTGTTTTCCAGGTGGGTGAGGGCCAGATGTAGGGTGGTGGCAATGGCATCATCTGTTGACCGGTTGAAGCAGTGGGTCTAGTGAGGGGGGCAGCAGGGTCTTAATGTGCGTCATGATGAGCCTCTCAAAGCATTTCATCATGATGGATGTGAGTGCAGCAGGACGGCAGTCGTTGAGGCAGGACTCTGAGGACTTGTTTGGCACGGGAGCGATGGTGGTGGCCTTGAGGCACGTTGGAATGACAGCAGTGCTCAGGGAGAGGTTGAAGATGTCAGTGAGGACATTGGAGAGCAGGATTGATGGAAGGGCCGGTCAGCTTGAATTAGCCCTTAGACCCCGGCGCGTTTGCCGCGCTTCCGCTTCCTTGCACAACGCTTACAGCAACTCCGTCTCCGGCCACCGGCATCAGGCGATGCCGAGGACTGGAGACCTGGTCTCTTTAGCAACCCGAGGACGCACAGCATCTCCAGCAGATCATGTTGGATGTCAATCTCCTATCAAACTCCATCAAGTGCTGCTAATGCTATATAATGAGTCTATGTGGCATCCTCTGTGTCTGGCGACTAGACGTGCCAGCTGAGATTATTTTATGTGTTTCAGTTAGTGATTAAGGAAAGAATAGAGAAACAGAGAAAGCCTACTGGCAGACAGGTGGATTGAATGTGGTTTGTAGGAATGGCTTAGAAAAGGGTTTGGGGGCCTTTGATAAACATGGGCCTCAGGGCATGGGAGAGTCATAACCTCATGCTACACTAGTTTATAAGCTAATTCAAGAGATAAGGCCACTTGACCATATCAATGGCTGTCCTTTCCTCCAGCACTGCTCACTGATTGTCACTCTCTTAAGGTCACAATCTCTGTGAGAAAAGGGAAATACATTCCAGTCTTGAGGTCAGGTCAGGTTGGGGAACATGCGCTGATGCAGCAAGTTGCTGCACCCACCACATGGTGAAATTCCTTAGGATCCCAGCTGGCAACCCCCCCAGGCAGACACACGGTCCAATCCCACACTCTGGAAATGGTCAACTATCTGCCACACCCAGGTGTTACGTATCCAGGTCCTCAGCCAGATCCTCAGCAGCAAGACTCCTGTGAGCCCAATCACCCTCAGGGAACATAGCTGTAGTGCCGTAAATGATGCTCCCTGAAAATCAGGTAATATGCCTCAATCGGGACTCCTCTAACAACCGCTCAATTGATACAAAGTCAAAGCAATGGTACCCAAGGATTCTCCAAAGAGACACAGTCCCGAAGCAGTCGTCTTTGTCTCAGCTCACTGGATAGCATCTACATCTCACAGCCATACAGCAAGACAGGGAGCACCAGGATTCTGAAGACTTGGACCTTCATCCTCTTGCAAAGATATTGGGAGCATGACACATCCCTTTCCATCAACCTCATGACCCCCATCTGCTAACTTTACAGGAAGAGTCACCAGAGACATGAATGTCACTGCCGAAGTAAGTGAATCTCTCTATGAGGTCTCGATGGATTCTCTCCACAGACAGACACACTACTGATGGATGTGCCTAAGAAGTCATAAAAGGCCTAAAAGTCATAAAAGTCAACACCAGTAAATCTTTCTTCACCAACAGACTCCTGGAGAACCCCAAAATCAACTGGAAAGAATGGGGAGGTTCTCCCTCCACTCTGCACAGCAGTACCAGTGTGTAGGCTGGCCATGACGTCCAGCAACTTTGGGGGGATCCTGCAAAGTCTCAAGATGTACCACAGGGAAAGTCAATCAACTGAGTCAAATGCTCTACAAAAATCGACAAAGGCTGCAAAGAACCTCTGCTGATATTTGCTCTTGCGCTCGATGAAAACCCTCAATGCCAGGATGCGGTCAATGGTAGACTTCAAACCAAAAGTAGGAATACCCACATACAGAAATCTGGCCACTCCCCGGTCTGTGTGCTGCCACCGAAACGCAGAGTTTATGAAGTTCTCCTGACAGCAGAGGAAGGTGGTCATCTTGCCAGAGAGTCAAGACGCTCCATGCACCGACCCGGATGGGTCGCCCCAAACTGGGACCTCAGTGCCCCACCGCCCTGGATCCCCAACAGGCCTGACGCTATTAGCTCTCCAACAGTTCCGAATCTTCTGGGGAAGAGGCTCCCCCATCCCCTTCATGATACGTGCAACCTTCCTGTGGGCAGCTGCATCGGTGCCACCCCCGCGGAGAGCAGTGCCTGTTTAGAGTTGTTTTACGGTGGCTGGAGTGCCAATCCTGCCACCAACCCCCAATTTATTTATTTTTTTTGTGAGCTGTAAGTTGTTTGCCTGTGTTGTAATGTTATAGGAGGAATTTATGTATGTTTTAGGATGGGATGTGCAAAAACAGATTAGGTTGAGCTACATGTTATCCAGTGCTGTTGGCCCTCTCTCAACTCTTTAAGTACAGATATATTTAAGTAGGAAATTGCATACTATTCTCACAGAATGACAATTCAGTTCCAGATTTAAAGGGTGTTTTAATAAAAACTTCTGAAAAACTATTATTGTTACAAAAAAGTACAGCTTACATTTTATATCACTGAATGCTGACAGAGAAAGCTTAACTTATCCTCTCCTGAAGTCCATGAGTGCTTACTGTTGGGGGAAGTTTAACCGATTGAACTGATGGCTTAGGGGGAATCAGGAAGTTCAGGGGTAAAATCTTGTCAAAGTACACTAACGGTCTCATGATTCAAATTCAAAATGGTTGTCTGCACATTTCAGCATCTAAGTGATTTCACCCTTATTGCAATTTAGGACCTTTGGCTCAAGAGGGGAGTGCATGTTTCCAAATGTGATAAATTCAATGAGGATTTTTTTTTATTATGAATCATCATAATAGTGAAGGAAAACAGAATGTAGGTAATAATTCATTTCTTTCAATTTTTTCTAGAGCAAGGAAATGGCAGTAACTGAACTGGAACTCACCAAGAGAAATGTGTGATAACAGAGTTATTGGAATCAGTAAAAAGCCGTTGACACACACTTAATTACGTATTCAGCAAAAGGTACAATAAACCGTGAATCATTTGGTCATGTATAGCGTATTAATCATTAGACCTTTTATTTTAAACAAAAATATATAGACTTATAGACTGTTACATTTAATACTCGAGTGGCATTACTCAAGATTCCCCCTTTGGTTAAGCCCACATATTCACACAGATATCATACAAAAACACTGTACAACTAACATAACGGGATCCATATAACTTCACACTTGCACACATAGACAATCAATCGTCTTAATTCATATTTGCCCTTAAATAACATAGAGATATGTAATACAGTATATATGTAATTCAATACAATTTCATTTTGAAATACATTAAAATTTCACAGAACTTAGAGGAAGGAAAGGCAGGGGAAAGGTGCATTTACTATGATACTAAATGTGTCCTAAATTAGAAATGGAAGTTGCCTTAGTGTTCTGTCAAGTTTTAATTGGAGAGAATTTGAATACCTCAATAGGAACTTCAAAACATGTTTTCAACACAGAATTGCACATTTTTAGACAGTAATGGTTCAATAGGGCCAAAATGTGTTTTATTAAAGAAAAAAAAATCTAGTTTATGCTTTTACAATTCTTAAACCACTCATAATTTGGTTATAATCTGACACTGCACTAGACCATACGATATACAATAATCACTTGGCACATATACTCCTTTTCGATTATGTTTAAAAAAATAACTTTTATGTAATGATTTGTGTTGCTCTGACTGTTGCATTACAGTACTGGTTGTGTGCGTGACAGTAGAGGCTGCATTTACCTACTGATTGTCAGATATACATCATGAATCTAGCGTTACATGTGACACTCACACGTGTGTAAAGAGGTAGCGTTTCCTTTCTCATTCCAACAAAACCAACTTCTATTTACAAACGTATGTCATGCTTTAATTTACACCTGTTTTTTTTTTTGTCCTTCAGTTTGTTAATCTGTTCCAGGGTCTGGCTAAACCCTGCTTCCTCAAATGTACGTTGCTTTGAATAAAAGCGTATTAAATGAATAAATGCAGATGTAAAATTCTAGGAAATTCTGGGGCCAATATGAGGAAATACTATAAACAATTATGTTAAATTAAGCTAATCCTCTGAAACTGACCATGATTTCTCAACATGCTTTATTGTAAAAATTGTAGCATATTTCCTGTTTATTTAACGGGTGATATATGTTCTTCCTTTAGCTAGGAACTGAGTTTATTTAGGGCTTTCCTGGAATTTTACAGAGGTGAGTACGAAATTGAAACTCTGACCTTCCCTGAAACCTGCCGGTGTGTGAATATATGACAAGCAGCATCTTTTTCACAAAAATAAATCGCCATCTGGTTCTCATGGCCATATTTTCCTTAATCCAGAAAAAGAAAATAGTTTTTAGAGCGTAAAACTTTTCTCTTTCCCTAGATTAAGGTCGCATACTCAGCACCTGAACAGACTTGTCTGGCCGCATGTTTGTCCTGCCGCTGCATTTGCTCCTGCGCTATGCCATGCTGCTTGTGGGTGTGCTCTGGGTGCTGCCAATGCTCGGGCTGGCACTGCTGTCCTGCGAGGGCGCGCTGTTCCCGGAGACGGGCTGCCGCTTGGCCAAAGAGCTGGAACATCCTGTGGAAAAAGCCAAGCAGGAAGTAACAGTGCATCAGCAATGAAACCACTTTGGTGTCCTTAGTCAGCAGACTTCCTTAGATTTGCAGATGTTTGCTTGCTTGTTGCCATGGCAACAAAGCATGCATTTTAAAAAAGCACACACAGTTTGCTCTTACCTGGGATGTGAGGTGATGTCGAAACAACACCCATTCCTGAAAGGTACAGTTAACAATTCAAATAATCTGTAATATTGAAAACAAAAATATGCATTTTTATATGAGAGGCGTTTTCGGTGTTTTTTCTATAGTAAGACAAAGGTGGAAAAAAAGGATGAATGCTATGAAGTCAGATTAGTAACTCACCTGTGCGAACCTTGATAAACCACAAGGCTCCCATAAGAAGCATCCCTATTAAGAATCCTCCTAAGGCGACACCTAGGACAGCCGAGAGGTTGAAGTCGGGGCACGACGCTGTGTACAGACAAACACCAGAGAGTTAATGATGCCCATGATGGTACCGTAATTACCTATATTCATATGGACTCATTAGACTAAATAACAAATATATTAATACTGGGAATGTAGAAGTTAACGCCAACATGCAAAAAGAAGATTCAGCTGACCGGACATTTGAGGGATACCAGTCGTCTCTGAGATTTGTATAAACTGATGTTGACACTCCCCCCAACCCAGAAATCCAGAGCACAAAAATCAAAACTGTGTCAAACTAGCATACCATTGATTTTTTCTTGTCGGTGTCTCTAATATCCTAAGTATATATGTTGTGACTCTCCCAAAACCACAGCTTCATTGTTATGTGCATTTTGTGTCATCATGAGTCCCTCCTGGATCTGGAAAAGATCCACCTACCCGGATGGGTCGCCTCAAACTGGAACCCATGTGCCGCCAGAGTGACACTCCTGGGTCACATGGTTCTGCTAGCCATCACAACCAGCGTGCATTTCATGACACAAGGACTATTTTTTCCCCACAGTGGTTTATTATTGCCTATAAGATTTCAGTAATCCTTATTCAGTTGGAGTTACAGCGACCTACCCCAGGAGACACTTAGTGTATACTGTGCTACTGCTGTATATCACTGTGTACAGGATGTCAGTTCATTTTCAGACACACACCCAGACAAATTACACCAGCTAAGAGTCAGCTCACAGAAAATGGGCATGCAAAGTCACTTGGCTGCCAGTCATTCCCAAGCGTGCGGGAAGATACACACTCATTTCCCAACACAAACTTTCTGCCACATGCCAACAGTCCCTGACTCCCCTTCCTCCCCCGGCGAATTGCCTGGGCTCTGATATCAGGAAGCCCACTGCTCATCCTGTGGCAGGACTCATCCTGCAGGGTTTCCCAAAACCTTCCCTAATTGCAGCGTTTACACCTTCCCGGCTGCCAGACGCCTCCTGCATCCTGTGCTGTGTGGCGCTGTGCTGCTTCTGTTTGTCCAGATGGAAAGTCCCGTACTACACTGCTTTTGAACTTTTCATGAACTCAAATGCTGCTGATTTAGCCCTTTTTAATCAGCTTCTCTGAAGCTTCACATCGCAAATAACGATTCAACACATTTACACCAGCAGACTACTGCTGCAAATCACAAGTGTTTCACTGTGATCATTGATTCAATTCCTGTCTGGAAGTGTAATCAGGTTTTTAATTCATATATTACCTTGGTTACTATGAGAGTATATTAACTAAAACATTATTTTCATAACAAATGTTCAATTACGAAGATTGACAATCTAACCAGACTGCACACTGACTGAGACCAATGTGGGACATTTACATATCAAAGCACCTTTTTGTCCAGAATAAATTAAATTCACAATGACCAGGACTGACTCAAACTATTAACATTATACTTTTAACAATTAACAACAATTACACGATTAACAAAGCAGCAGTAAAGCTTCTTGCCAACCCATAAGAGTTTGTCTTGTATTGAACCTTCAGAGAAAACACGAGGCACGTGCCATCCCTTAAAATACATGCCGTCTGTTTTGATGTTTTGTAAGTGTGTACCGGTTGCTGTTTAGACAGGAAAAATCCAGCGGCTCATCTATATAAGGACCCATTTTTCACTCTCGTTCATCCTGTTTTTTTTTCATCCCAGGAATTTAAAAATCGCTTTATTTGCGCAAATAGGAGTGAATAGAGACAGGATGCTGGAGCTAAGGTGGCTGGAATGCTGGGGGGCAGCAGGGTCACAGACAAAGAGACGTCCACTCTGCACGGCCCCCGAGGTGTCCCAGCGGCAGCCCCCAAACAGGAAGAACAGCTCAGTGGCGCTCCTAGCTCTCACAAAAAATAAAAAATAAAAATCAAAGCGGCAGACTGTCAAGCCCCCTGCAATGGATCCGGTCAACAAATTCCAGACCTGTTTGCGAGGCACAGAGTGCTGCTTCCGGAACAGAGACCACTGCAATCAGCAGCAGGTGCAAACAAATACGTGATTTACAGTATGTTTCACAAGGATAATCCTGTGTAACTGCCAACAAATCTTGGATCCAGGAATTCAAAATAAAAAGGTATAGTGCATACTTGAATGAACTTGAATAAAATAAAAAGGTATAGTGCATACTTGAATGAACTTGAATAAAATAAAAAGGTATAGTGCATACTTGAATGAATGACTGAATAAAGTATTTTGAAAAAATATAAACTCTGCAAAAATCAAATTGTATTTTGCAATAAATGAGACACCAATCTTTAGTGAGTCCCAGCTAAGTCATTTGCCACTGGGGTCACAGGCCAGCTTTTTATGAAAGAAAGTCGATTCATAGATCATACTCTCCAGTCCTGTGTTTCCCATTATCTAAGTACAAACAAACAGTGACAGTTGCCCAAGTCTGCCTTCCTGTATCTGGCCCAGAAGTCAGGCTCTTGTGGAAAGGTAGACAGTAAACAATGGAAAACATGTGACTATGTCACTATCCTTCAGAATGACCTTGATGGGGGAGGGGGGTGCAAGGATTGGGCTGTAAGTAAGAATCTGCCGTGAGATGGTCTTTCCTTTGAAGAGCAACACTTTCCCGTCTTTGTGTGCTGGTGACAATAGCCCGTGGTTACGCTGGCACCTGCCCAACGTTCAGCATAATAAATCCCCCAAAGGCTAATCATTTCTGATTGCTTCCACGAGGTCAGGCATCTGGCCTTCCTAAAGAGCACGCCCCAGCGTGCATGGCTCACGTCTCTAACCCAGACCCCCCCCCACTGGCTTCCCTCTCCCCAACGGGATCACGTCTCTAACCCAGACCCCCCCCCCCACTGGCTCCCCTCTCCCCAACGGGATCTCCTAGTGGAGTCCTACAGTTTTTTTTCTTTCTTGAGTTTTCACTGTGGAGATAATCAGAAAAGCCATGCAGTGTGACACACTGCAGAAATAAATGCCTCTTCCCTATTGTGCCTCAAATCATTGACTCATCTCCTGCAGAATTGGAAAAAGGAAATAAAAGCGGTCACCTCACTGATAAAACTATACACAATGGTGGCCCAAAAGCTTGTGAAAACTGATATAGGACTATAACGGCTGTCTGTTCAACATTACAAATACTTACCAGAAGGCACACTCGATTTGACAACTTCAACAGCTACTTTGACATAGTCTTCATCATGACATTTCTAGAAAAAAAGAAAAAACAGTTTCAAGTAATATGATTAAGCTGTTCTGGCACAAATAATATAGAATAAAGATATATATTTCACAAATGACTCTTACCATATCACTGTTTTGCCTGAGACAGATTTTGATCTTACACTGAAGATCCCAGACAGTTGACGGTGTATCCTGGATCTGCTGGAAGGAAAGGCTGAACCTGGTCCTGTTATGGCAAACATTCCAAGGACAGTGCTCTACTTGGAAAGGCATGGACAATCCCATACGGCAGGGATCCTGAGACAGCACTGAACACGCCACCACCTTGACCTCTTCACTCCTGCTGGAAATCTAATGAGGGTGAACAGGAATTGTCAGTGACAAACCTCTGAAAAGAGAAATGTAGAGTCATCCACATACTTCACTGATTACCTCTGCATATATCCTCTTTTCACTCTGGACCTTGGTCACGGGGTCGATATGAGTCTTGTAGTCCGCAGACTCAAATAACTGCATGGATACTACAGACCCTGGGATACAACGAAAGGCAAGGAAAAAAGTGTGAAAACCTTCTTAAATCTTTGTAATAAATTATGACTTTTTGTACTTAAAACCTAAACAAAACTACAATGGCTTCTACTTTTTAAGTCCTTCTGAAAACAATAAAAACGCCAAAAGACATGGAAAAATGTCTCTAAGGAAAAGATCTGAAAATGGTGCTTGCACTGATGACCACTAGGTTTATAGCATTTTCCCACCAACAAAATGCCTGAGAAAATATTATTAATAATAGACTTGAACAGAAGCAGAGAATAAAGGTGTTGTATGAAAGTGTACATTCAGAACAAAATTAAATATAAAAATATACATACCTGAACCTGGGGTTATCTGTGGATTAGACACATTGATTAAAGAAGATGGTTCTTTAATCTCCAGTCTTATCTTTGAAATGGCAGCTGTAATTTCTATATAAATGAAATTTAAACCTATTTTTTTCATAGCTAAATGCTGGACATCTTTATAACTGTCTATAACATTCTCTATTGAAGGCTGGACGGTGATCTGGGATCCATTAAATTTCATCTGCACCTGGTTGTTAGACTGGGTGGAGAAACAGACATGTTTAATTTACTGATATATATATACTGCATTGTATTGCTATTACTTATCTTTACACAGTCAGTATTCAAAATTTGGTTGAGAAGGCCTGTAATTTGCTACATCAATAAAGAAAATAGCAGGCAAGTTAACAACAATAACTTTAGAAATATTTAGAAAAAAGTAAGTCATTTAAAAATAGCTTCAAAAGTAATAATGTCTTACAATTAATTTGAATGGTTCTTCAACATTCCACACTGTAGCATTTGGTCCTCTCAAAAATAGTGCTGTTTCATTGTCCGAAATGACATGAATGAAAACCTCTCTGGGAAGAGAAGTGACATCGAAAGTAGATGCAGCAAAATTAAGCTACACATCATCATCTTTTTCTTAAATAATTCATAAACATGCACTTACTGGATGGGGACTGAATCTGGAATGTTGATAATGTGCATTTTCTTTCCAGGTGCATGATTGTCACTGGAGCACAGCTTAAATGGTGGTTTAAAAACTGGATTTTTAAGATACAATAGGTATTGCTTTGGGAAAAATCCTTTTTCAGCAATGCACTCCATTGAATTTATATCCGCTGCAATGACAAATAAGTTTAAAAAAAAAATCACTCAGCCCACTTTCTCTTTTATAAAACATATTAATTTTAATTCTTTAAAAAAGCAAATGTAATTATTAAATTATAATAAACACTAAATGTAATTCAACTGATCTATGTTCTAGAGTTGTGAGGACAACAAAATATCACATTTTTACATGGATTAAAAGCATGTTTTTTAATGCTTCTGCTTCACAGCTAGCCAAACTCACCCTGCTTTCCAGTAAAGATAATTTCAGATGGGTCATAAATTGTTGTAAACGATGTAACCCCTCCAAATCTTTTTTTGGCCAGTTCCAAGATATTCATATGACAGATTTCATGTACGACATGATCTTCTTGGATGTCAGTTGCATTATTTATATCCTGTGAAAAGAAGGTAAATGTGCTTTTCAAAAGAGAATGAAGTGTGTTTAAATGACAGATGTCAGATGGTGTAAGTTTTAAGTTGCTGTGTTTGGGAGCAGGAACCCATTAATAGAGTCAGTAAGCAAACAGAGCTGTATTAAATCATAGTTGAGATGAATACTGACATAATGAACTACATAGACTAAATAAACGACAGTTCCTGTAATCCAAACCAAATGTGGATATTTCACATTGGCCTACAGAGAAACAGTGGCTGCAATCCTCCTTGTTTTTTCTGTATGCTCTTGGGCTCCCCCTATGTGTCACACTGGTTAAAGGAGCCCCTGACCCCTTTTAACTTGTGGAATTGGATGATTTTAAATTTGGTGTTTGTTACAGAAAGTGTCTAAGAGCCTCATTTTTCAAACCATTTGGAGCCAAGGTCTCCCCTCTGTTTCCTGAGTGGGGACAGGAAATTAGACGTTTTTAACTTTGTGCGTCAGCAAAGGTCACTGCTTTTTTCCTGCACAGCCACGCGATTCCACATCCAATTGCTTTTTTGCTTTGAATGGCGATGAGCTCATTTATAAACGAATCAGCAGAATTAAGAATGTGGTGTGTGATATCAATAGACAATATTCTGTACCTCATGTTACAAAATAATTTAATCTTAAATACTGAGGGTGAAATGCAATGTGCATCTGTGCTACAATCAATGAAATTAACAAAATACATACAAATCTTTGCAGAGAGTTTATGGTTATATTTTTTCTCACACTGGTCATACAACAATTCCTTCAAATATTCATGGACCCATCATCACCATATTCTGAAACCCCATAGCTTAAAAAAGAACAGTGAACAGAATGACTAAAAATGGAATTTTCAGACCCCCCCCCCCCAAAAAAAAAAAGAAAATCTTTAAGCTAATTCCTTATATGGACTCAAAGATTAAGATGGTATTGGGTCAGCCTCTTTTTTTCTGATAATACTGCTCAGACTGCATTTTTTGTAGATGAAGATTAAAAGAGGACAAGAGATATACAACATTGCATGCAGAAAAGTAACACGAAAAATTACAGGGGGGCAAAAAGGCAGCGCAGAACTGATTAGATTTATGGCCGAGGTTTAAAAAGGTGATGCCTCTCACGAGAGTCCAATAAGCGTGTGCAGGAGGTGGCAAGGACAGCAGCAATTCAGCCTGTCATCACATCCACATTGGACTTCCTTCTTTTGTTTGTCATGATAAAACTGTGATGTGTTTAAACCCAGGCTCCTTCATGCCTGATAATCTCCCTAACATTACTGATGTGTCTGAAAATGCTTGGTAGAGTGATATGAGCAGAATTCAAGGAAAGAATTCCTTCAGCAAAACTAACAGCTCTCAGTCAAGTATCAGTCAGTCAGGTAAAGCAGACTGAGATCAGTCTGAAAAGTGTCGAGGTTCAAGAGGAGTAACTTTCTTTGCCTTAGCAATGCTAATACACATCTGCAGAAAAAATAAGTCACGGTACAAGTTTTTGTTCCCTTTATTTTTCAGTTTATATGGGTGTGCGAGTCTTAATTTTTTCTGCAGCTGTATTTCTGACCAGTCATAAGTAGCCACTTTGGAGGGTTGGTGTTAGTTACTGTAGTTAGTACTGGTAGCTCAGACAAATGTTGGTTGAATCTCTTTTGTATGTACAGTATCACTCAAAAGTATTAAACAAAAAAAATGCTAATAATTTGTTGGGGGAGGGGGTTTGTGAGTGGGGACTCAGAAGGTTGCCAGTTCAAATCCCACGGTTGGCAGACTGATGTCAGCATTGGGCCCTTGAGCCAGGCCCCTAACCTTAACGGCTCCAGGCACTGGCTGAACCTGCTGTCTCCGCTATGCTACTCCCATGAGGTGGCCTCCTTCGATGCTTTCCCAGCCGTCCTGAAGGAGCTCCCACATATATGCTCAGCATTCATTGGCCACTTTTCCTTCACTCTGTGGTGAAAATCCTCCAAAACCATTTCTACTGCGTTTAGCTGAGGTGGGCAGGTCACGTGACGTGACACTCTATCACTCTCCTTTGTACGTGGATGGTGTGTTCACACTTTTGACTGGCATGAGATGGGCATGTTTTTCACAAAGTGACATCTTGAGATGCACAAAGATGTAGCAGATCGCCTTTATAATATGACATCGCATCTGTTGACATGCATGTTCACTATTAATAAAGCCAATGTCTTTTTCTCTGTGGTGGTGACTTTGCATTATTCTAAAACCTATGCAAATATAAGGTGAAGAACAGTGCACTGAAACTTAAGAATAATACAGGTATTGTCCTGCAGTTTATTTTAACACCCTTTCTCTTCTTATGTACATGTTCTTCAGTCTTAATAGCTGTTTCGCTAATAAAAACAAGGTTAAATCATTTGCAAACTGGGAGGTCTCCCCCTACACTGCTGGTATTGGGCAATCATCTTATATGAAGTGTACAGTCTAAATATAGAACAGGAACGGTGGGTAGCTGTATAGCCAAATAAGAGGAACAACCCTAATGTGGCAGGAAGTGGCTACACTGTAAGGCTTTCTACTTCCTCAAACCCAAACACAGCAAAAGCTCATCGATTTGACAAATAACTCAGCAGCCTGGCTTCAGACAGAGGACTTTAAAATGTGTAAAGAAATACAATTTAATAAAAACCGATGTATAGACTGTACAGAAAAAATATCATAAAATGTAAAATTCTCTGACTGAAATTAATAATATTCCTGTAGGGTTCCACAACACTGAATCTGTTACTAAACATATTATAAAAACCATACTTACATGAAAGTTGATTTGTGTTCCGTCACGTTTAAAAGCCTGAAAGGGAGTTTCCCTGCATCTCTTCAGCACCACATGAGCTTTGTTAAGTTTCTGAAAATCCATTATGAAAAACTGAAAAAAAAAACACAGAAAAAGAGAATCTTATTACATGTGTTTTTCCAGTACATTAAAACACCTTGTTGGAATTACCGAGTGCAGGTTTCTACCTTATTATATTGTATTACCTTGCATACAAATAAAGGTACGGCTTGTAAATGTAATACATTAAGCTGAGAGTGTCAGCTTAGTAAGTGAGCATATGAACATGTGGCTGAGCTCTGAGGCCTGGGATTGGCAGATGAAATGCTGTAACTTTCCCTAAGACAGGCCACTAACAGCATGACCGGCACTAAATGAGAGCAGGACACCTACTGCTTCACAGCCCTGAGCCTGCAGTGGCAGCCCTGCAATGCACTCTGTCTGACTTCCTGAAAGCTCACAGGACCAGCCTTTTCATTTTTGCCCTCGTTCAGGTCAGCACTACAGCTACATAACAGTCACCATGTACTTACAAAAAAGAACAGCTCCTATCACTCCTATCCGGATCCACTGACCCGACATGTTGCTGCCTCACACTAATGTACTGTCTACTATTTACTTATAATTGCTTATTCTTCATAATACAAAGATATATGCATTCCTCAAAAATATAGCAACCGTATCCATTTACATTTCAGCAAAATAAGCCAAGCATATTAATGGATAGTAATGACTATAAATTACCTCATACTGCCCAAAATGAATTATACAACCCAATTAGCAACTATTAGCAGATGGACTGTTTCCACAGGCTGCTAACACTTTCATTACAGTCATTTAATGTCTATGTGCTTAAATCTCAGAAACACTAGGTGAACGATAACAATTATCGATATTTCAATTGTTGGGTATCACCAACATGGGTAACCAGGAACAGTACTGGATATACTTGGTGTCCTTAACACTGTTTCAGATAGGGTTGGTTTGGTTTGTTTTCCTTATAAATGTTACACCAGGGACAGCAATATTATGACCAGATGTTTAGAATGTTCCCAAACAAAAATGCAAAGATCTGCATGTTTTGTTCATTTGCTAATACCTTCTGTTTTTTCAGTGATACAGGTGCATAAATTTAATAAAGTCTGAATTCTGGAAACAGTAAAATTAAATGGAATTTTAACACCCAGTTTACCAGAACAGCATACTCTTCACTGTAGATTAACCTGTATGTTACTACACCATATGTCTAAGTTCACGTGTCCATCAATAAAGAAGCAAATGCGACATTCAAAGGCTTAGAGATCTTGGCAACATTTCACTGGAAGAGGCACAAGTAACTTAGTAACTCAGTTACTATTCGAGTACAAATCATGAATAATTATAGTAACTGCATGCAACTGTTAAGATTGATTAATGATGAACAACCCTGGGATCAGTATGTAACCAACATTTAGTTTCTGGTTAATACATGGACAGTCTACTACTTCATTGTTTGTGCCCCCTCAAGTAAAGGGTTACCAGGGTCTTTAAGACAAGTTACAATCACGGAAACACAAATACCCAAAGCCACCATGAAATATTTCCTCAATGAAAAAGAACTTTATGGAAATACAGCAAGAAAGAAGGGTCTTCTGAGGCAAATTGACAAACGGTGGGGTGATGCAGTGGATAGCACGGTCTCCTCACACGTCTGGAACCTGAGTTCAAGTCTCCACCGTGACTCTGTGTGTGGAGTTTGCATGTTCTCCTTCTGTGTTTGTGGTGTTTCCGCAATGTACTCCAGTGTTTCTCCCACAGTCCAAAAATATGTTGAGTTTAACTGGAGTTTTCAAATTGCCTGTAGGTCTGCATCTCTGAGTGATAGATGTATGACAGGAACTGTGAGGAACTGGTGCCCCATCCTGGATTGATCCCTGCCTTGTGTCCTCTGGACCCCCTGTGAGTCTGAATAGGGCAAGCAGTCTCTGAAATGGATGGGTGCTTTTACAACTGATTAGGCTTGGGCATGCAGGTGTAGAGTGGGCACTTGTGTCAATAATTGAAGGGTGATCATTTTAACTCTTCAACAAGGAGTTGTCCCCCAGTTTCCATAGGGCTTAACTTCCCCATTGATAAGACCATTTAGGCTATCTCTGATTCCACAGTTTACAGTACACTAGATGATTTGTGTTTTTTTCTTTAAATACCATCATATACCATACACTGGAGTTGTCTAAAAGGTATGACAGTATGATAGATAATGACCCTGCCTACAACTGATGTTGCATTAATTCCACAGGTCCTGAAGGCAGATGGAACAGGTAATGCCAAGACATTTTGCAAGCTGCCAGTGCTATACATGCATCAAATAGAACCCATAAAATCCCTGACTACATCAGAATAATCAGAAAAAGTGTGGTTTTAAAAGTAGTGAGAAACACCCCAGTCAGGGAAAAGCATTCGTCTTCCGCTGTATGGAAATACTGGGAGAATCAAAGACCGTACTTGTGGTCTTGGCAAGACCGGTCTTGTGACCTTGCCTTCAAATAATGATCTCGCAAGATCTCAAGGACAGAGAATGCACCAAATGTGGATTGAGACAGATGTGCACTTGTCGTTCCACAATGCTGAATGCCCAGCTGATTACCCTGGCCATAATTTTTATTACTTAATACGTAATCAAAATGTCCAGTTCAAATAACTAATTATTTCTGCAATGATTACTTGTCCTTTATTCACAAATAAAGTTTACACTTAAAATATTCATATTTATTTCAACTCTGTAAAAATGCTATATGCTGGTGTTAACCATTCCAGTTCAGCAGTCTCACGAGTCAAAAACAACGTGAAAATACTATCTGACCGCAACGACAGACACGTCACTCCAATTAAGGTAACCCCGATTAAGGTAATAGTTATAGCTCGCACCTTCTTCCTCTGCCATCGCAACAGCACGCGATGCATCATGGGATTGTTCTCGTTTGGTAGGGATGCACCTGATGCCTCCTTAATATTTGGGGTGCAGCAAGACCTACATCCAGGGATTTGTACTGTGCAGCCATTTTGTATGACATAGAGGCGATATTGAGCAGAAGCAGGTGATCGGTTGGCACTGCTTTGGGTCTGCTGGCACGGCAGCACCAACAATTTGTTTGCCAGGCTCTGTTGGTAAATGAGTTCTACTTGGCTATACAGTTAATTTTCAACGGCTAAATATCTCAAAAACTTAAAATCGACTTTTTCCAACATCGTTCAACCCTGAAACACAATGCGTTCAAAAAAATAAATATTAATTGGTTATATGTATTATGTAAAATAATATGAGTGAACCTTCATTTTAGCAAAGACTATTTTAGATATACAGGAATCGCAGGAAGTAAATTAAATAAAATTATTTAAATCAAAGTGATGATAAAGAGAGGCTAAGCTACTCCACGAGGCTAAACGGCACACACTGTATTTATGGCTAACCTCGCATTATTGGGTGAGTTCTCTTCTTTTAACATGTATTTGAATTGCAGTCTGCAATACTGACAGATGACAACTTTATTTTCGTTCACTTTTAATGTGATGTTCTTCCACACAAATGATGATTTTGCTCTTTATTTGGACCCATATCCTCTTACTTTCTCCAAATTGCCGAGTAATAATAAAAAAAAAAATTTATCTATGCTTTTTAATAATCGAGTAATCAAGTTTAATCGAGTAATCGTGATGGCTCTGTTTACAAGTACAACTTTTATATCGGGAGCTTGGTCCACCTGACCCTCCCGTCTCCTCCCTGGTGTGGGAGCTACGTTTGTTACTTATGTGTCTCAGCTGTTCTTCCTAATCCTAATGTGAATCACGCCCAGCTGCCTCTCTTTAGCTCCCTCATTAGTCTCGAATATATGTGCTTCCCAGTGCTGTATTTCTGGCTCCAGTCACTGATGTCATATCTTCTTCCTGCTGCCTATGCCCTTCCTCATTTCTAGCCCTCCTGTTTCTGATCCCTTGCTATCCTGTTTGTTTACGTCCCTGTTCATTTAGTGCAATAAAACCCTTTTCTGTTTCGCCATCACAGCTGCCCTCGAGGCCTTCGTGACCTCAAGGCACGACAATCAGGCCTCGTTTAAATCACAGTTCCTTTTAGTTGTGAATGAAAGCAGAAGATGCTGTATAAAGTCAGCTGTCTGTCACCAAGCAAATTTTAGCTAAGTGAGGGATATATGCCACGCAAACACTTTACAAATCCATTCCTGACTTTTCTCTGATGCACAAACCACTCACCGATTTTGTTTTTAACCAGAAAATGGCCGTTCTTCAGCAGTTTATTCATTCAGTTGCTAAAAATGAGTCTAATCTTGGCTCAGACAGCTTAGTGGTTTTCTTCATTAAATCATTAGATAGGGGAGGTTAAAATGCTACAAAAAGATCTAAAACTTAAAATACATTTTTAATTGAAAAGCTACAAATAGACTTTTCGTGAATTTTGAAGAACAGCAGTGCTGCAGTGGAGCTTACTGTATAATTTTTTTCTTTCAACATTAAATAGCTCAGGAAAATTCTGTTCCTGGAATACTTTTTTTCCCAGTTACTGGATGAGTTATTTATTTCAGTAGAGAGCTGCTAATTTTCTTGAAGCCTGAAATGTTATGCCTGTGAGCTGAAATGTTTTGGTTTGGGAGCCTGGTTCAGCAGCATTTACATTCTTACATTCCAGTTTACACCACACTCCCCAGAGATGTGCGCAGAGACCTTCCTGAATTCAGCCTGGTGTTTGGAGATTCCTGTGGCGATGCGTCCATACCCCCCCAGACACAGAGGTCCCGGCAGCAAACTGACAAACCTTTCCGAAATCGTCACCATCCAAGCAGAACTGTTACAGCAGTCATCGAAAGACCATTAACTGTGTTTAAGCAGCACTGACAGGATACCACAGATAACAGCTGTACCACCCACATGTTCACTTGGGGCTCTGCCTAACTTTTGCCTGGAGTCTGTGAGCAATGGAAGATATATGTCAAATGTTGCAAGCAAGACAAGTTCCAGTCTCTTATTTATGTTATTTATGGCAAAGGAAGGGCATACAAATACGTCCTTGAATGCTTGATACTTTGCAATGTTGTAAGACTGCAAATATATGGATTACATTTAACACTTTCTTCTTTAAAAATGTGCAAACATAGAATTAATCCAATCATAATTGTGTAAATAAACTTGCTACTGAAAAATAGACCATCACTCCGGAACGAACACTGAGGGAGTTCTCTGCTGAGTGAGCATGAGGGCCGTCGTTCAAGGATGATGATATAACGTTGTTTCATTTTGTATGCTTGACTGATTGATTATATCATGAATAACTTTTGTTTTTCAACTGCTTCAATCAGTGAACAGGTGTAATTGATTAATCCTCTGCAAAATACAATTAATATTTTTGTGTATTTTTTGTATATTAATTTCAAGTAATTAGGATAGTTTGACTTCTGGTGATATTTCACATACAAAACTAAACAAACTGCAGACAAACTATTTGTTCAGTTCTCAAAGTCAGAAAGCTGATGGAACTTCAAACTGATTCTCTGAAATTTCTGATTAACAAAAATGGTCAGACTCCTGTTATTTGAAGTATTTTTCAGTCAATATTTATGAGATTAGACAGTGGGTGAGCAATTGTTGTGGTAAGCAATTGGAAAAAAAACCCAAGGAATATTTTGAAATAAATCACAACCAACCAGGCCAAAGGCTACTTAAATCTCCTGATAAATGTCTTTTAGTCTGTAACATATTTACTCAACAAAGCATTATTATTTATTATTATTAATAATAATAATTATGATTACTACTATTTTAACAAAGAACTCAACCCTTACACCCCCCAATACTGTCTTCATTTAAACAAAAGCATCCAATCCTTGATCACTCACTCTTGCTATTTTTGCTCCTGCATTTTCAACATTGAATTGATTTCCTTTTCAGCTGTTTTTTCAGGGCACTTTCGTCAAGCTTTTCTGATGTAAAGCTGCTTCCCATTATTCTTTCACCCTCCCGTGACCCAAGACGGCTCCAGCAGTCCAGTCTAGGCTTTCTGCCAAGTGGCAAAAAAGTTTCCAGACTATGACATCAATAACGACTAAAGCGAGCTACTGCTCACTCAGCCAAGCTCCCATTCGCAGCTGATTACCCCCCCCCCCCCCCGACATACCCAAACATACTTCTTGCTTGTGCACTGTAATCTCAGAGGAAAATTTTTTATTCACTTCAACTGTAATTATTTTTCCCCCATTTGTGATGCATTACTGTTAAATCCCAGCTGAATTTAAACAACCATTAAATCCAAGCTCCTTCATGATGTCAGTATATCCTCAGTTAACTAAGCACACATTGCAGATTTCTCAGAATTTGTTCCAGCTTAGATGATGATGTCATTATGACATAGAAAGTGTGCAGAGGATGTGTACAGAAGGGGTTGCATAGACCAAGGTTGGTCCCAATTGGCAGGGAATTGGGAGAGAGCAAAAACGTGGACCGTCTGGTGGTCCTCGAGGACCGGGTTGAGAAAACCTGGCATAGACTGTATAATACCTTCCTATACCTGCTAACATAAGCATGCCTGTGTGCCAGGATGTTAGCAGCAGCTAAACAAATTTACCAAAAACTACTCATCATCATGTACATCACCATCTTCATCATGGTTGTTGTTCTTGGGCCAATATGGTGGCTCACAAGGTAACAGGAAAAAAGTAAACAAAAAATCTATTGCATCCTCACCAAAATAGCAAATGTGCCCAATGGAAAATATTTTAACAATATATCTTTGCAAAAGTTTAAATTTATTCCTAGGCACACATATTAGGTAGAAAAGTTTAATACACTCCAATAGTGATGTTTTCATCAAGCAACATGTGAATCTGTACTCTTAGAACAGTAGAGACATTGTGAAGCCTGTTTTCTGCATTTGGAAGATCCCCCAAAATCCACATTAGTGATATTGGTGGGATCACCAGTGGGGATCTTTCTTCAGAATCATTAATGATGGCTCACAAAAACCCTCTGTAGTGCTTTTCATACTTCTTATGTTTCTGGAATGCTTTCGGGTTTAGTCTGCAATGGTCAGAGCATGTGTACCCCTGCAGATCTACAAGTTCTTACACAGAGACTCCTGCGGCGTCCCTCATTTCACTAATGGAAGTTGTGGGGAGATCTGTCATGCACTAGCCGTTACCTACTGGCCCAGATGAGACATCACACACATTAATTTACTGAAGAGAGAACTAGAGTCTGGCTATGAAGTTCCTTTCAAATGTCTGTCCTTCCAAATTTAATAACTTCTTTTTGTATTTCCAGCAGCTTGTCCTCAATATGGGGTTTAACCATAGAAGAATCCATGGTCATATTTTTACATCTACATCTGTGAAAGTTTGCAAATACTAAAACAACTCAATACTTTCAAGGACATTTAATATAGAGCAACTAAATAACAACTGAAGCATATATAGCAATTAGGCCACAGTAAATTTCTTTAGTAGGCAGGGCTTTTTATAATTTACTAATGAAGCTGCAAAATGCTACAAATGGCAGCAAAAATGTGCAAATTTCCAAGACAATATAACAATTCAGCATGCATCTTCACTAGGATCTGACAGTAGACAGTTCTGCACAAAATAACAACTAACAGCTTAACAGCAGACTTACCATGGGAGAGTTGGTGCTGAAGACCAGGTCCAGGATGTGAACTTCGAAACCCTCTTGCTTATATCTACTCCAGCACCTGGGGGACATGCCTGATGTCACCTCAACATCAATGCCCTTTTCACGGCTGTTGTCCCCTGGTTCCTTTGGCTCACATGTGAGGGATGCTGTATCATGGGAAAAAAAGTTCAGTACAACTGTCCCCATGCACCATCTCTTTGTGTGTGTGTGTGTGTGTGTGTGTGTGAGACATGTTTATATTATATTGTGGGGACCAAATGTTCCCCACAATGTAATTAAAAACCTGTTATTTTGATGTTGTGGGGACCATTTTCCAGGTCCCCACAATGATCTTTGAATGCAGTTGAAAAAATAAAAATGCCAAAAGTCTCGTATTTAATTTGGTTACTTATGGTTAAGATTAGGGCTGGGTAGGGGTTAAGGTCCTCATGGTTGGGATTAGAGCTTTCCCCATAGAAATGAATGTAAAGTCCCCACAAAGATAAAATTAGAAACATGTACAGTGTGTGTGTGTGTGTGTGTGTGTGTGTGTGTGTGTGTATACACACACTATAGTATTTGGATACACCTGTTTGCTGGTAGCAAAAAGCTCTTTTAGTGAATGCAAGGTGTTCGGAAAATGTGTAATTTTAGATGGAATTCTTTTGGCAGTCGGTAAATATTTTGTAGACGTAAACACCATTCATTCTTAGGAAATAAAGGTCAGGTGTCCTTTCCTAGGCAAAATCCGGCCTGGCTTATAATCACTGGTAAAGATGAAAGGTCTGTTTGGGTAAGCGGGCGTCACTGTGAAGATGCAGGAGGATTTAGACTGTCTGTCTGTCTGTCTGTCTGCCACTACTCAATGTCTTATTGTGTTTTGATAGTTATGGATTCCGTTATATAATTTATTATTTCATTTGCAGCATAAATTTTGAGTTTTCATTTTTTAAACAACATTGACCTTAAAAAGCAAGACATCACAATAAATATCTCATAAAATATAAACATTCTGGTATGTTGTGTGTTGATCACTGGGCATAAATGTAGCATATTAACAGATTTCTAGATGTAGGGTGGTCAACAGTCGCAAGAATTAAATAAAACAAACGTTAGCAGGTTATAACAATATTCATTATCTTCTTGTTTTACAAACCTAAGACACTTTACTCTCACACTCAGTACAATTGTACAACAGCATTCTATTAAAAGGCACCATTGTGTTTGTTTTCATGCAGTGCAACTTAAAATGTTAAATTTCCATATCTCCAATACCAAATGTGACATAGTGAGCAGCATAATTGCCTTTTGTCCCTGTGCAGTATCTCAGCTGTCTGCCAGGCGCTTACTCTGGTCTTCTCGACTACTTCCTGTCTCCAAGGGTAACAGGAAATGCCCTGTTTAGACAGCATGCTGATGACGGCAGTAACTGGCAGGAGCCATGGCGTGACAAGGGGGATGTAAACAAGCCCAAGTCACCAATCACCAATCGGCAACACTTTCCACCAAAATCTGGGATACCTCCAAAGGTGTTTAATTAACACACCTTTCCATTTACAGGCAGCTCTCGACTTATGTAAAAGCAACGCAAGTAAATCCGCATTTTAGGAAGCAACCACACAAAAAGGCAACATACATCCGTAAGTAAATTTACAATTTATCTTTTGATTTATGTAATATGTGTCCTTTAGTATGAATTAGTAATATATTTTTGTTTTACGTGATTTTGCTATTAGGTGTCTTGAATGGTATGGGAAGGTAAATTCGACTTATGCAAAATTTGACTTACATAAGGGTTGATAGCTGTCAACTTGTCAGTTGAGAAATGCCTGTAATTCACATTTTTTCACGTCTTGAGCATCGAGCACAAACTAGAAAGTCAAAGGACCCCTCCCTACACACACACACACCACACACACACACACACCATACACACACCACGCACACACACACACACACACACCACGCACACACAAATTCTTCAGTGTCAGAAACATTAAAGCCCCCATTCTCCTTAGTTACTTCTGTAACCAACCAAGAGCAGTAGCTCTGGGCTGTCTTCATTTGGGGGTCCCTGACCTTAGAAGGGTTGACAGCTTCTGGCCTAATTTTCTATACATTACCTAATTGTGAATTCACATTTTCACAATTTAAAAAGTGGTAGAATGTCACTGTATAACTTCACCAACAGTCCAAATTATCTCTTTGAACAACAGGCAAGAGGCCATATCCTGGAAACAGTAACTTCCTTTATTGAATCTTCTTTTAAAGAACAGGCAATTGGCACCTCAAGACCCAAAGCAGATAACAGATACTGTCGACAACAAATGCTTAAAAAAACAGGAAATAAATTAATAAAAACATGTATAAACATTCTTTTGGTTATACAGAAGATGCTGATCTCAAATAATACATATTTAGTAGGGATATGCTTGATATTCCCACATGAACAAGTATATTTATTTATGTTTATGACATTTATAAACTACCAAAAGCAACTGGAAGGAAACTCAACTGTGTAATACAGGGCTTTTTTGGGAATGATTGGGTTTATAAATTCAGTATTCCCATTACCAGAGAGAGACGGGGATGGGATGGGGTGGGGGGTGGGATGGGCTGTGATGGGATGGGATGGGATGGGGATACTATGACACATGTGCAAAAACAAAACCCAGGAACTGGTTAGCTATTAATTTATACAGGTGTTGATACCTAGGATTCCTGTTACTTCCATGTGAAGCAACGTCAACTCATTCTTGATAGATATTACATTTGGGTCAATATGGTTTAATTAAGGGTAATTCATGGCACAAAGCACATTTAACTTGTTCACCTTATCCTTTAGTATTTGGTTAGCCGGACTGACTGAGGTTGTTAGCCATAGAGAGAGAGTTGGAAAACCTCCACATGCCACACCCAACCAATGGAGAACTGAGTAATGCTGTTTTACAGAGTTATCCATCACAACGTTTTTCATTCTTATCATATTGTCAGACAGGAAAATGTAGTGATTCAGGTAGAGTTTCTCAAGAGTAATATAGGGAAATGACTTAATTACAATGAAGCCTTACCGCTGTGATGTGTCACTGATGTTTTTAGAATTTGGTATGATCAAAATGCAACACAGTGAACAATTTGCTTGACATCACTCTCAAGTTCAATCTGTCCACTCAAAAATCAGCCAAATGAATCAGTGAATAAGATAATTTGCATTATCAAGGCACTATAAACGAAAGTCAAAAATACAGCCAAATACTTCTGAATAAACGTTTTACATCCAAAGAAGCCAAGGTTTGAGAACACATGGGAGATGATTCCCAGATTGCACCCTGCTTCCCACACCTATTATCTCAGAGTTTCCTCAGCTGCAGACGGAGGGTTGACAATTTACAGTAAGCTAAACAAGGTCTTATCAAGGCACCACAGAGGCTTGTGCTGTCTCCCTGGGGCCACAGCACCTCATTCCCACTCAAAACTGCTCTCTGAACCAAGTCTGTCAGCCGCGTCGGACAAAATTACAGCAGGTTATGTAGGACCAACAAAAGAAATGCTCAGCACCTGAACTTCAACAGAACTACAGATTCTGTTTGTCCCCACATGTCAAAATTGCCACAAATTCCAAGCTAAATGGAAATAAAAGGCATGTAAAAAACATGTGGCTCCATCTCTGCTGGCTTTCCTTCAACATGCTAGAGTAATTTTCAAAAGCATAATTCTTCTGTTGCTCGAACAGTAAATGAAATGGTCTCCTTTCTCCAGCAAAACACAGCGGAGTTGTAGGCAAGAGCTTCAAGAAATTTGTTCAGCTCTATAACCATGGGGTGGAGGAAATTCTTAACTAGACATCTACCAAACAGCTGAAAAGTTCTGCCATATTTAATACAGCAGTGTTTATGCACTATGCTATTATACGACTCAAAGCAAGACAGGAATTAGAAACATTACAGACAATGCAAATTAAATCCCATTCCCCTACAGTCTACATATTTTATAACAGCTAAATATTTTATATTTCCCAGTATAATACTAATAAATGGTGTATTTGTTACTGATGTTTTTTTATTATTATTATTTTATTTTTAATTATTTTATTTTACAAAGCTGCACGACCTACACAATGGCCAATTTGATCATAATATCAAATTTAGGAGAAAAAAGAATACGTCAAAACACAATGATAATACTTCATTAACACCCCCTGGGGAAATTCTCTTTTTGCTTAACCCAGAGGAAACTCAGCAGCAAAGAGCAGCCACCTTGCTCAAGGGCCCCCAGACGCACGGAGGCCAGGCTTGAACCAACAACCTTCTAATCACATGCACAGTGGCTTAGCTCACTGAGCCACACGCTATGAGGAACACCCACAATCCCTCAGAGCAGCCCGAATGTTATAGCTGACTTACTGTTTCATTGTGAACGCAACATTCATCTGTATGTCCCTTTGTTTTTAATTCAAAATATATTACATGTTTGGATAATACCTAGTACTGGCGAACCATGACATCATAAACACCATTCCAGCTGTAGTGTGTGTTGCTGTGTGACAGGCAAAATTGGAGGGAAAAAAGTGAAAAACCAGCTTAAAATCTTCTTACAGACTGTAACAGGTCTGTCCTAAGACTCTGCCAGAATGCCGAACTCTACTTAGCAGAGCGAAAGTTCACTGGATTCATTCAGTGGATGAGAAACTGTCCTGGGCCTCCCATGAACTAAAAATAGGGCTTCTGCAAGACTATTATTTCTACAGATTCCAGCTGCTGGCTGGGGGATAGTTTATCTTGACATACTGTTAATGAGCCATTGAGGGCTCCGTCCTCTACATGACTGCTTGTCTGCCCAGGGCTAATAAGACGGCCAGCATCATTACACCAGCACTTCTCTGTAAAACCGTACATAATAATAAAGACGGAACGGCAAACAGTCGGCTGGGAAGATGAAATGAGCTGCTTCCTGTTTCCATTTATCCATGAAACAAATAATCAAATAAACAGAAGTAAGTGGCATATTTAATGAGACCGGGCCTGTCACGAATCCCTATTGGCCTATGTAAGAGAGAACAACCTTACAAGCGCAGATTTTAAGAAAGGAAAAGGGGAGTCGGATTGTTAATTGCGTTGAGATAGAAATCGGTCTCCTTAGGCGACAAGTGGTCGCGTCAGTTGGTCTCCCTGCCACCCAGTCTGGCAGACAGGCAGTATAGTACAAGGAAGCGGCTTATTTATCAATCTGTTTGATTATTTTTCTTTGTGGAGCTCTGTCTGAAACCTCTCCCCAAGAGCTCACCCTTACGTTATCGTAAGGTTATATAATGCTCAGCAACCCCCACCCCCAGGGCTTGCTTCCTGAAGAGTGAGCTTTTCATGTCCACCCGGGCCAAATCGTATTTAAATCTGTAATAGCTTTTGTACTTTTTCCTCTGCCGTAGCACCCAAAGAGTAGTAGGGTCTGACAGGCTGCTGTAGGACTCTCCTACACAATAACTCGGCTGCTAAGGTAATGGATCACAAATGTCTGCTTTAAAAGACTTTATAATAAAACAGTGCAGCACATCAAAATGATAACTGCAGTGCAGGCACACTCACCTGGTCACCTTTAATACTTATCTTATACTAAAATGCATGGTATAACATACACTTCCATAAAAATAATTCCTAAATATGTCATTTTGTTACTCATAATAATAGAAAATGTGATATATTATGTAGCGACTCACATGAAAAATAATAATACTGACACATATTTTATTTATCCAGCCATTCATTTTATATAACCATTTATCCAGTAGAGGGTCATAGCCACAAATAGTTCATATTTTTGTGTAATAACCAGAAGTGGAAAGTTGAGGTCCAGAAAGTAAACGGACCTTTCCACCTCTGGTAATAACTACTCAATACACACAATTATAAAACACAGATATGTAAGGGATTCCGAAAAGAACACTGCAAATGAACTGAAAATTCCAGAACAAAGGAAATCACACTAGACTCACCTGAGGACATGTCCCCAAAGATCAACAGAAAGAGAAGAGCAGCCATGGAGTCCATCTCAAAGTGAGGGTTTTTATGTCAGTGGGGGCTTTATGAGTGTGTCTAGAAGGTCAGGCAAGAGGGTTACATACTGTGGGTCAAACTCATGCTTCTCTGCAAATCTCAGGTCAGGTCATTTGTTCAATACGAAATATGCAAATATAAACGCGGAAATACCCACAGTCCATCAGGACAGCATTTTTTCCAATTTACTTGGAAAGACGAAAAAGAAATATCGGTCTGACCGAACAATTTAAAAGTCAATACTGATGGTGGCGATTAAAAGTCTCAATCTACACATTTCAACAAAAAGCAGCGTCTTTTACCCGACCTGCCAAATTCAAATAACAGCAGCAATAAAACCATTACGATATTAACAAACTTATGTATTCTAAGGAAGTTAACTTCAGACTACAATTTAGTAATCTGTGAAAAACCTAAATCCTACAATCGTTACTTGTCATTTAAAAACTTAACTAGGCATTTTGTTCGTGGATTTTCGATTGTTTAAATCACATAACGGGGAAAAAACAACCAGAAACTGCCCCAAGAAAGAGCGGATGACTTATAACTCCTGAAATAATTAGAACTTAAATGAATTGTAATGCATAACAAAAACCTTAATACTCACGCGTTTGTAGCAGATCCTAAAAGCCGCAGTTACTCCACAGCCGCCGCGAATGGTTTCAGGGGGCGCCGTACGCTGCTTTTCGTAGCGCCCCCCGCCTCCGTCTCGCGGCATGCTGTCATTCCGCGGAGGCGCGTGACCGCCCAACAGGAAGCGCCTTGGGATGCGAGCTGCAAATACATGGCCGAGCTTTTACTGCAAATCGGCGCTGAGCTTTCGGGACGCTTCGCTTGTGACACTCTACCATATGCTATTAACCAGTGTTATTTATTTCCAGTACATAGTGGATGGCATACACGTTTTACCACTTGATTGGGTATTACCTCTACATTTTGTGATCCATTACAATTAACACTTTGATTCCTTAAGTTATTATACACGAAAAACTTCCTTTAGGCCTAGTTGCACAACTCCCAAACATATACTGTAGGTCTATTCATTACAGTATGGTATCATGCATCATCAGCTCTAGAAACGGCATGTATAATTTAACTTACTTTTACTTTATGCATAGGCGAATACTTGAATTATTTAAGTATTCGGTTATACAGAAAGTAAAATACAACAGTAAACATTACAGTATTTTTTAATATTTACATATTCATTTGTCAGGCTATTTGCCTTAGATGCAATTTTTTAAGTGATGAATGTTTCATGTTAGCCCGCGTTCTCTTATCTTTTTTATCTTAACGTGGAATGCCCCCTTGAGGAGACATCAGATATCGTACTATGCTGCACACTGGATCTGCATTTATCCATTCACCTTCAAGCCGTTTGACCAATAATGGAGGTCGGCACTGAATACCACAGAAAGCAATCGGAATTAACCTTTTTATCATTGTTATTTAGTGCCAAGATATGAAAAAAAGGAAATTCTATTAAATCGTATTTGCCATTAAGGATAAATGTAACAATCACTAACAAGCAATAATTACTAGGGTGATTATTGTGAAAATCGGAAACCTGTAAAAAGTGGTCAGTTAAACCTTGCGATTACTATATATGTATTTAGTTATGCTTATTATGATTATTGTTTTTACGTATATTTAATATCTATTATACAGCAGTTAGTTCTCACCAAAAAATCTGATAGGACAAGAGGTACGTGTTCTATGAGTGCTGCTATATCAGAGCAGAGTCCTGCACCGGGTCGGGTACCCGCAGATAGTTGCTGAAACGGGCGGATTTTAATGTTCTGGAATTTTACGCGCGGGTGCACGGGCGGGTGTGGAGCTGTACTGTGCGGGTGCAGGTCTCCAAAAGTGGACCCGTGCAGGACTCTGTATCAGAGCAAAACCGCACTCAGCCGTTTCATAGCAGCTGTATCACTCCGCTTTACAGGTGTACTGTATATAAAGACCGTTACGTGTGCCTGTTACACTGAGCCGCTACTGGGCTGTTTCTCACTGGTTTGGTCTCTTAAGAGAACCTGCCCGCTCCACTTATTTAAAAAATGAACGTAGGCGGAAGTCAGATAGTAAAGCTTTATATGCATTCTGTTTTGTTGGATTTATTTTGATTTATTTCGGGCCTTGTTTTTATAAGCTGCCGAACCAAAAAAATATATTTTCAAAGTATTACTCCTTGTGCTATGTCTCCACTTGCCTGTATTCACGTTTATCTTCCCTTCTGTGTAAATGAGGTTATTCTCGCTCGCTGTTTTACCGCTGTCGTTTTAAGGATCGCGCAATAAAACAGTCTTCTAATAACTAATAAATTTGCTGTCCACCTCGTGATCACCTCGCCACTCGATCGAGCGCCTGGATATGTTATTAGACTTGAGTTTAATTTACAGGTCAAAGTTATTCCGTTTATAAGCTGGCTATAGTTGTTTCACTTGGCACCGGCGATATTAGAAAAACTATGGGTTATAGACTTAATTTTCCGGGTGTGCGGAAGTTTTGGACACAATAGCTCATCCCACCTTCGCTGACGTTACGGGAACTTTTTTTTGCGGAGGCCCGTACCTGTGCAAATAAATAAACAAAATATGGTGTATCTTATTAATTACTGTTACTTATAAATGCTACTCTATGAACTATTTTATAAAAGCAATAACATACTCGACGTAGTACGGTATATTCCTAAATATTACAGCTGTGATTAGGTCATAGGCACGAGGCTGCAGGCCTTTATTGCAATACAATTTCGAGTACGTTATTGCTTAGATATATCTTACTGTTCTGGTAATATATGTATGTTAAAAAGTGTTGATTCTTGTATATTGAATACATCATTGGTGATATACACTCACCTAAAGGATTATTAGGAACACCTGTTCAATTTCTCATTAATGCAATTATCTAATCAACCAATCACATGGCAGTTGCTTCAATGCATTTAGGGGTGTGGTCCTGGTCAAGACAATCTCCTGAACTCCAAACTGAATGTCAGAATGGGAAAGAAAGGTGATTTAAGCAATTTTGAGCGTGGCATGGTTGTTGGTGCCAGACGGGCCGGTCTGAGTATTTAACAATCTGCTCAGTTACTGGGATTTTCACGCACAACCATTTCTAGGGTTTACAAAGAATGGTGTGCAAAGGGAAAAACATCCAGTATGCGGCAGTCCTGTGGGCGAAAATGCCTTGTTGATGCTAGAGGTCAGAGGAGAATGGGCCGACTGATTCAAGCTGATAGAAGAGCAACTTTGACTGAAATAACCACTCGTTACAACCGAGGTATGCAGCAAAGCATTTGTGAAGCCACAACACGCACAACCTTGAGGCGGATGGGCTACAACAGCAGAAGACCCCACCGGGTACCACTCATCTACACTACAAATAGGAAAAAGAGGCTACAATTTGCACGAGCTCACCAAAATTGGACATTTGAAGACTGGAAAAATGTTACCTGGTCTGATGAGTCTCGATTTCTGTTGAGACATTCAAATAGTAGAGTCAGAATTTGGCGTAAACAGAATGAGAACATGGATCCATCATGCCTTGTTACCACTGTGCAGGCTGGTGGTGGTGGTGTAATGGTGTGGGGGATGTTTTCTTGGCACACTTTAGACCCCTTTGTACCAATTGGGCATCGTTTAAATGCCACGGCCTACCTGAGCATTGTTTCTGACCATGTCCATCCCTTTATGACCACCATGTACCCATTCTCTGATGGCTACTTCCAGCAGGATAATGCACCATGTCACAAAGCTCGAATCATTTCAAATTGGTTTCTTGAACATGATAATGAGTTCACTGTACTAAAATGGCCCCCACAGTCACCAGATCTCAACCCAATAGAGCATCTTTGGGATGTGGTGGAACGGGAGCTTCGTGCCCCGGATGTGCATCCCACAAATCTCCATCAACTGCAAGATGCTATCCTATCAATATGGGCCAACATTTCTAAAGAATGCTTTCAGCACCTTGTTGAATCAATGCCACGTAGAATTAAGGCAGTTCTGAAGGCAAAAGGGGGTCAAACACCGTATTAGTATGGTGTTCCTAATAATCCTTTAGGTGAGTGTATATATATATATTATATGGCCATGTAAATCAAGGATTACTGACGTGCACGGGCACACACACCATTTATAAATTTGGGGTAATTTATATTAAAATGATATTTCAGCCTTTTTGTAATCATTTAATAATATTCTCAATGAATGAATTTCAGTTCCTGACCTCTGTACAGCTGACTAATTGATTAGTTTTAAAATGTTTTAAACTGTAATTTGTATGGCACAAATTAAGCAGATGAAAGCATTTATCAGCACAGATGCCTGCAAGTGTGTAATGTTTTTTTTTTTAATGACCAAGTCTTCAAAGACCCTGTTAATCTGTTTACAGAAAACAACATAACCTGGAATTTATTAATTAAACCAAATTAGCAAAAGATTGTGTTATTTATTGATACTTTGGTCCTAGCGTAATTATGAATTTCTTCTTAGCAAAGGAACCTTAAAGCATAGATGATATTATTATTATGTTATTTGATTCTGTGAATGATTATCCCTTCCTCCTGTTTTGATATCAGCTGTTCTTACATAAGAAATTTACAAACGAGAGGGGGGTGTATTGGACAGATACACTGTGACTGTCCTGATGTTTCCCCACATGGGGCCTTTAGTTGCCATATCCTTCCTTAGAAGCTGCTTTCCATGAGTACAGCGATCCTCATAGGGTGGTCTGTATTTCTGCATGGAAGTGTTTGTGGGTCTCTTCATGAATTTATCATGAGGTCTAGGGTTCCTCAGAATAAAACACTCAGGTTACAGTTTGGATGAAGCAACACTGGCTTGTTTCCTCATCACGTTAAAGGCTCACATGAAAACATGGCAGAAATGTTTTATTGCAGTTTAAACTCTATACTCTGCCAAAACCTTTGACACCTATCTAGGGATTACCTCAGAGATTGTATTTTAAAAATTCCTTATTCTCTTAATGTTCTCTACAGTTTTCTGAGTATTTCAAATTTCCAGTTTTTGTCACTGTGCTTCACATGGATATGAAGGTCAGTTTTCTTCCATCCGTCCTTTCATTAATTTTCTGCACCCGCTTGTCCTATTCAGGGTCACCAGGGGTCCAGAGCCTGTCCAGGGGTCCAGAGCCTATCCCAAACACAGGACAAGGAACAATGCAGGATGTGGTGCCAATCCATCACAGGGCGCATTCATACAAGCAAACCCACTGGCAATTCAGCAACTCCAGTTAACCTCAGCATATTTTTGGACTGTGGGGGGAAACCGGAGTACCTGGAGGAAGCCCCATGATGACAGAGGGAGAACACGCAAACTCCACACACATGGAGCAAAAAGCAGATACTCAAACGCTGGCCCCAGACATCTGAGACAACTTTGCTAACCACTGTGCCACCCTGCTGCACTGTGAGTTGTCTTTTTAAATTCTAAATACATGTATTGTTTTATTGCCCTGTACAGGGACTGAAAAAAGAGACCTTCCCTATTAGAGAGCAGTTCTAGATTTCTTACTCACTACAGCTGAATTTTCAATGAATGACTGAAAGTTGCATTTATATAGAACACCCAGAGCGCCCCACCTGGATGATGCAGCCATTCTGCGCCAGATTCTCACCACATACAGTAGTAGCTAAAGTGGTGAAACGGCAGGAGAGAATTCACCAATTAGGTAATAGGGGATGATTAGGAGGCCAGATCTGATAGGTCCACAGTGGGCAATTTTAGCCAGGACATCAGAAGTTTGTTTCGCATCAAATACAGTACATCTACATGCTATTTATATTAGGATCCAGCTGATTATTCTATAAAACCTAAGAACAGCTAAAAATGATGTCGCATATTCTTGGACATCTGTGACTCAGCATTCCAGTGCTAACCTAAAAAAAACTTTATTTGGTAGCTTTCTTGTACTGTATTTAAGCGGCTTAGAACTGCAGTGCATTACTTATGTATCTACGTGTTTTTGCACATTTTGACAAACTGCTATTTCAGCAGTTAGTCAAGAGAACTTCCTTCTTGACATCTTTACGCTTCAGTATTACCCACTGGAGATTACCCACGTATGCATGTTTTACAGTGAAGAAGCTGAGAAGACCTGATAAGTATTATTTTATATTTTTACCATATATTTATAATTGAACATAGCATTTTTACATAGGTAAATAAGTAATACTTCTCACAAACAGCACAAAAAATGGTATTAAACAACTATTAAAAATTCTAAACATTACAGTAGACTACAATGTCACTGTAGGATATAGTTCATTTTGTAAACAGTTAATTCACTATGCTTCTCTATATATATACAAGTATGTATATGCTACATGTCTCCTCATGTCTCCTGGGAGTTTTCTGGGGCAGTGAATGTTCCTTTGTCCTATATTACACACCCACAATGCATTTAATAAATTCAATCTAATACAGTAAATGAAAATCTCCGTGCTTCCGATTTTCCCTTAAGCAGACTTTGTTCTGATTGCATTAGCTGCCGGGTACCTGTGCTTTTGCACGATAACTTTACATCACTAACAGTGCTAAGAAAACGCCACAGGCCCTGCTGCTCTCTCCTGAAATAGCACTGATTCCATGAAGCCGTTTCAGGCGTGTCCTTATTCTGCACTGTGAGAATTGACGGATTTACTTGCTATTTATGGCATAGCTCCCATTAGGATATCTAAACTGGATGGCTCAAAACACACTAATGGCAAATAAAATGAAACAGAAGAGACTGCAATTATTTCAACACTTCTGAACCTAAAAATGTTAATAAGAAGGAGGGAAGCGAACGAGGTTCCCATTTCATTTGGTTACATAACATGGCTCCAGAGATCTGACAGATTACCTAGAATACAAAAGGGAAAGTCTATTGCCTCAAAGCACAAAGGACAGCTGAACGTTACATGGACCCTTGGTCCAGCAAGCTTTAGGGCTTGCAGAAATATATACAGTATATATAAAGCAATACATTTGCACATTTGTAGAGAAAAAATCTGGCTGGAGAATTGTGAAGCATCAATGACAAGGCAGGCTGATTGTGGGAGGGTTGTGTGAGTTAAGGCCATTTGTTTCTCTTAAGGGACTCATTTAAACAAAGTGACTCAGCAGTTGGTTGGTTTGTGCATGATGGGAATTTACAAAAAGCCAACATGGAACGGTTAATTCAACATCCAGACTATTTCAGCGACTCAATAGCAGTAACAACGGAGGTAAATATTTCATCCACCGGGGCTTCCGCATTAATCTGTAGACAGAAAAGAATGTATAATTAGTCAGAATGTTATGCAATCTTTGTTAAGACAGTAGCAAGGCCTGTCAGTTGCAAAATTATGTATTGCTATTAAATGAATCCAAAGTTGTCAGATCCTGTGAGTCCTAACTGCTAACCAGTGGACTTTTAGGATATATTAATGGTCATAACTATTTGCTCTTACATCATGTGCTTGTCTTTATGCAGAAGACCAAAGATAGTTTTAATCCATTCCCTTGGCTATACCCACACCCATGAACTTCACTCTCATTTAATCTTCACTATAGTCCCCCATCTGGATGCTGCTTGAGCCTCTTTAATGAAGTCCAGTTCCTATGGCTCGTGTCCCACCTTCCACACAATTCCACGGCCCTCATAGAAAGTGATGACGGGCTCTGTGGCCTTGTAGTACATCTCCAGTCGCTTCTTCATGGTGGCTTCGTTGTCGTCCGCCCGGCCACTGGTCTCACCACGTTTCAACAGCCTCTGCACCATAGTGTCTTCCTTGGCGTCAATGTACAGTACCAAATCTGGGGCCCCAATCTACCAGTTAAAGACATCATTACTCTTGGCAAACCAATTTCACCTACCTATAAAGTTAGATATTTTACTAAAGCATTTCAGGTTAAATAAGTAAATACAGCTCCCCTGCGACTTCAAACTGGCAACCCTAACATTACAAATCTGTAACCAATATCAAACTGTTGTCCCCATTCGACCCTAGTAAACAGCACCTTAATGTAGCTGATGTGACCACGGCCTTCAAACCAGAGGCAATAATGGAAAATAGAATAGAAAATTGTAAAATGCTGTCAGCTGCCATAACTGCTCTTTTCATAAAATTATAGATTATGGTTTATTTCATAAAGAAAAGTAAACACAGCTAGTTTCAGTGGTATACCAGTATTCCTTTCCCAGTCTTCTCTCCACAATAACAAGCCAGGCCAGGTTTCCTGGCAGTGAATGAATGCCACGAGCATTCAGAGTCAGAATTCAGATGAAAGACTGTTCTTAGCTACAATTTGTTCGGAGATCTTTGTCTGCATTGCAACGATTCAGCTACAACAACAAGCAAGCTTTGAAACATTTCTATATAATTCACATTACCTTCCCCCACAAGTGAAAAAGCCATGCTCTCAAACATCCCAACGTCATTTACATTCTAATACCTTCTTCTCAAACTCCTGGCCTTGCTTGACTTCTCGTGGGTAACCATCAATGAGGAATCCTTTGGAGACATCAGCCTTAGCAATCATTGCATCCTTCAGCATGTCCACAACCATGTCCTGTACAGAAACACCCATGGGTCATGCTTCAGAGGCTCGCGTATGAATGACCTTCATAAGCCAGGCTAGAAGTTGGACTTCTATACATTTGAATATTGGGAGAAATGGTCTCAGATTACTTTTCATACAATTATGTATTCAAGTGACCTACACTTAACATGAGTAGCAGAATGCCTCAGAATACACTTGTCATTTCTTAAGTCTTACATTCAAAAACCTCTGATTTACAGAGTCAGCAGTTTGGTTTAGACCAAAACTGTGTGGTTGCGAGTCACATTCTTTCCACGAAACATAGATAACTTGGCAGGAAATAGTCACAGTGTGAATTTAGGGTGAAATTTCCCAGACATCAAGAAGGAAACTTATTTTAAGTGAACTAAGACAGTGTATAAATATGAATCAAAAACCACTATAAAATACCAACTGAACCACTCAAAATATCTAGAGAAAAAGACAAAAAATAAGCACTACAAAGTAAATACTATTAAACGAACATTGGGACTTGCAGTCTGAATTATGCAAAGGATGGATTTGAACAGGGAAAGGTCAACACAGCAAGCAAGGTATATACACACAGAGATTAGGCTAGCATTCATAGTTTTAGTAGGTAGCTCTTCATATGTTTTATATCTTTGGTTTTCAATTTAGTTACTGGCCAGACAAGCTAAATACACTGGCAACTAATACAGCTAAAATGTGTTTTTCTCCTGGAGTCCAACATCTGACTATGGTGGGTGTCAATAGCTTCGCTCACCAAGGGAACCAGCTCTGCCTTCTGCATGATCGCCGACAGCTGCTTGCCCCTTTCCGACCCCGAGTCGACCTCGGAACGGAGCAGGTCCCCCGTGGACAGGTGAGTGTATCCATACTTTGCTGCGACCCTCTCACACTGCGTGCCCTTTCCGGAGCCGGGTCCTCCTGCAGAATAGGAGGGAGGATGAGGAGGCAGGTACAGTGTGACATCACTTAACCACAGGAGCATCCCTGCCATGAAACGTAACCATGGGGGTAACACTCAGACTTACCCACAACAAAGAATATCTTGTGATCCTTAAGTTTATCTGAAAGATATACAGACATACATGTTTTAAAAAATCCAGCTCTGCCAACAGGAGGAAAATGCTCTTGAGATGTAGTCGGTATCACAGAACACAGCACCAAAATCACAAGTATTCAGTAATAATTATGTACAAATTATGTGCTAGATTTCAATTAAGCACCATTGTGAAAGGTAATACTGCCCTAAATGGGGAGAGATTTGTAGGGCTGAGATGATTGAAAGTTTCAAAGGCTTGAAAACTTGATTTGGAACGCAGAAGTGTTCATTCAGAAATGAGGTGCTGAGGTCATGGATGGAACCAAGATATGAAAATTTCCTATAAAATCTGAATAACATTTCACATTTCAACCACATTGTTTTCCATGTTGGTGTGGCAGTGTCATTAAATGTGCACAGTTTTATACTGCAGCTTACAACTACCCAATTGGTGTCTGAATTACTTACATCTACAAATTGTTATTTTAACTGGTATTACCCATATTATGCCCTATGCATTTTCCTCCAATTAAAAGTTTTGACAGTTAACTACAATTCAGATTTCTTCCACAAGGTGTCAGTATTCTCTGAAATTAGTGAATTTATAGTGACTTGTCATAAAGCAGACACCTGTAAAAGTAGACTATTCAATACTAGCTGATTAGCATAATTTGCAGATAGTATATGTTACTCAATTTCTGCAGCAATACCTATTTCTATCCAAGTTCCATTTCAGTGATAAGTCAGTCATGTACAGTACATGAAAAACAATACCATACCATCTTCTAGTTATCAGAAGTGAAGAACTCATTTTAAATATTATAGTTACAAAAGAGACAAGATATACTGTAAGTAACAGAGGAATGCAAATACAGAATGAGGTTAAATATTTTATCTAATTTTCTTACATTCATGATAGCATACTGAACAGTGCATCATTCCAGATGAGAATAAATTTCCTGACATCACAGAGATATAAAATGGCTCAGGTTACTTTTCTGATGCTACTCTGGCTTGTCTGAGAATTCATGAATGAGTCCTAAAGGATAATTACCTGTCACGGCAATCTGCTCTGTGAAGAGCAATCCTTGGCCCTGAAACAATATTAGGAAGAACCAGTCACACAGACTTGTGATTAGTGATCAGAAATGAGACGGATCTGGATCCTGACTGCAAGGCCAACTTCAGTGAAACGACGAAGCAGCCATGTGCAGTAAGAAGGTACCTGCATGGGAATGTAGAATGATGGACTTCAAATTGGACTTCAAACCCTCCCCAGATTGATGGACAGCAGCAATTGCTTCTCTAAGATCATTGCTGATGTCTTTCCTCCTTGGCATTGAGCTGACCCACACCGGAATCCACCAGAACAACAACTGCCAAAGCTTCAGCTTTTATAGAGCTGATCACACTGGCTGATGATCAGTTTATCAAGAGCATTTGATTAGCAGCATCTGACTGCTACTCACCCTCTTCATTTGTCACACGCCGCTTCTGTATTTTGGCCTAGTTTTTGTTGAATAAATAATGACACAGTGTAATATGTCATGTGTTGTTCATCTTGTATTCAAATAATTTTAAGATTTGCTAAGGACCAGATCTTTTATTTAATTATGTTCTGATACATAAAACCTTACAATTGAATGAGGGTGTACTTTCTTTTGCACACGACTGTCTGTACACACACACACACACACACACGTGCATGTGTGTGTGTGTGGATTAGGTTTATATTACATTCTGGGGACCAAATGTCCCCTGTAGTGTGATAAAACCTGTTATTTTGATGTTGTGGGGAACATCTTTCAGGTCCCCAGAAAAATCTGTGAATGTAATCAAAAAAATAAAAATGGCAGAAGTCTCGTATTTAGTTTGGTTACTTATGGTTAAGGTTAGGGCTGGGTGGGGGTTAAGGTCCTCATGCTGGGATAAGATTTTTCCCCATAGAAGTGACTTGAGTATTCCCACAAAGATATAATTACAAACCTGTGTGTGTGTGTGTGTGTGTGTGTGTGTGTGTGTGTGTGTGTGTGAAAGAGAACAGTACGTAGTTCCTTGAATTTTCTTCTTACAGCCCTTTTCTGAAAAACATTATAAAGAACATCTTTTCCTGGCTACTGCATCGTAGATTAAACTAATCTTTCCTTGTCTGATAGCAAATAGTATAATGTACACTATTTTGATACTAGTACTGAACATATAGGCATGATGAAGCTGTTGAAATGGTCGCTGTGTGCTCATCCATAAAAGTGTGCTGTGTTTCCGTAGTTATGTCTAAAGATACCTGAAGGGGAAACTGTGGCTTAGTGTCAAGGCCATAAGTATAATATATATTGGGGGTGACACATACCCCCCAATATTCAGATGTGCTCACAGTGTCCCCACCCTCTCCCCCAATATATATTATAATTACGGTCTTGGTCCCCCCCCTACAGCCTTGCTTAGTGACACACTGCACGCTGACAGCAGTACATAAGTCTGCCACTAGATGGCACTCTACACACTCACTCATGTTATTCTTAACACACTTATTATAGTATTAAATATGTTTTATCAGGAATCTGTTTAGTCTATCTAATGTTTTGTGTGGATGATCATGCATATTTAAAGAAACAATTACTTTTTTTTTTGCTTGCAAACATGAAGCGGAAACAGTTGTGGCAGCCTGTCTATACTCAGTCGTTCCTTGAATGTGTGTGTACTATAAAAAACATATTAATGAGATTCCAGGATAAGCAGAAGATTTTTCCAGAAAGTCAAAGTGAAAGACAAAAGTATGTAGTTCCTTGAATTTTCTTACAGCCTTTTTCTGTAAAACATCTTCAAAACAGGCTTTTCCTGGCTATGGGATCTTAGACTAAACACAACTATAGAGTTTCCTTGTCTGATTTTGGAGTCCAAATAGCCTTCAGTCCTTGATTCAGGAAACTCACTGGCACACACTTCTGACTATTTTCTGTCGATTTCTAGTAATACCATGACTCTGCTATGCGGATGACAAACCTGGAGCAGATAACGGAGCAGGAAAAGCAGGGCAGTCTGATGGGATTTCCTTTGTGAGTCTCTACAGTGAGTCTCTATTCCCCTAGCAGACTGTAGCTGGCCCCTCAGCCCTCCAAAGCACCATCTAATTATGCTGCTGAGTCGGAAATGAGCTTGTTCAGGTAAGACGCCATGTGGCGGCCTGTCTAGCTCAAAGACAATGAGAAAACGCACCGTTTGAATTCCCCTCTGTGCATACTGACCTCTCTCAGCAATGAGCCTGTGGTGCCCTATCCGGTACGGCAATCTGGATCCTGTCGCTTAAAGCGACATTCCCTACCTCCCACCAGCCCTGCCTCTTCTTCCTATTGCTTTTTTTATATTGTTCGGGCGGCTTGTGCTACCGTGCATTGTGGGAAAATGAGAGGAAAAGGAAGAATGGATGGCCCGGGGTGGAGGGCCCTATGTCTGTGGTTTGCAAGCGTTCTTCCACAGCACGGGGCTGGGGGGTGGCAGGCATGGGCTACAGCGAGCCACGTTCCTGCTTCGCTTCCAAACCGTGGCTCCTTTAACAGACCGAATCAGTTGCCACTTCCTCCATAAGCGCAGTGCACTACCCCACGCTCCACACTGATCCGGATTTCCATGTTAGCTCTCCTGTCGGCCCCAGAGATGATCATAATCGGCTTGTGGCTCAATCTGCTGTAAGAATGTCATGTGTGCAGGCTAGAGAGGAAATATGCGCAGCACCGGTGTCGTTAGGTCACAGCTGATGCATTTCTAGGCTGGAAGCGGAGTATTGGGAGCCCTGGGACGGGCAGGGTCGGTGCTAATTAAGGCTTGAGGACGGGCCTGCTGGTGCTGCCTTCTCACCTCTCCCGGGGCTTCTGGTCTTTCCACCTCCCCATCATCTGGTTGAAGAGCATCTCTGTCAGTTATACCTGCAACATAAACAAAGTATCATTTCAGGACACAACTGCACTGAAAACACTATTTGCAAATTTATTTCCTTCATTTTTTTAGGAATGAGGTCATTAGACTCATAAAAATCATATTTAATATGAACACTAAGTTATATACATATAAGCACACAGTCTGATTTCAGCCTCATTAGCTCATTCCAGTCCTCTGCCATAACTGGGAGATCCAATTCACTTTACTTACCAGTATCTCCATTGGGAAAGAGCCTCTCCAACACTACAGCTCTGATATCAGCGAATATCTCATCCTCATCTCGCTCAGCATCAATCTGGGCAAAAAGTGTAGGTGGGACAGAAGAATTCATAGCGCTATACCCATGGTGACCAGCAGGGGGCTGTGTGTTATCTAATGCAATTTGTATATGTGGTCTGAATGCTAAATTATTTTGCCTCAGGCAGCGCAGTTCTATGCTATAAAAACAAATTACAAGAATAAACAAATTTTGCAATTACGTGAAAATGCAAGAGGCTTAGAGAACAAACAAGTCCAATCGGCAAAATTAATCAGCCATCCGACGTGTTTTGTACATGTAAGGCTTACAGCATTTTCTGACCATTTTCTGTGGATGACTGTTACCATGACAACAAACTTCAAAGCTACTCAGTTATTTATTGTTTATCATATAAATATTATATTAATACAGGTAGTAATATATTTATAAACATAGAAGTGAAATAGATAAAGTAATGGAATGGACCATAACTAATTCAACACATGTTCTATATGTTGTTCTTTACCAAATGAAACACTATGAAACAACCTGTCAATTTTCACCAAGATTCACGACTGACTGCCTTAAATGGTAAAATAATAAGCCTTATAATGAAAAAGGGGCTGTGAGAGTACAGTATGTGAGTATTACCCTCACGATCAGTCCTCTCTCCTGATAGTACTTGGCGATCAAAGTGATATTCTGCTTGAAAGTTTCCAGCCGCCTCTCGATGGCGTGGGCATTGTCATCAGGGCGTCCCTGCAGGGCTGCTCTCTTCTCCAGACGCTGGCGGAGCTGCTGATTGGAGCAGGCTAGTAATACCACCAAGTCCGGGGAGCCAATCTGGAGGTGAAGAGTGAAGAAAGTATTTGCAGTCAGAATATAAATAAGGATCATATTTTAGCTGTATTACTGTTTCTATGTTCAAATACTGTTGTGTTTTTCAGGTATAAAGCCTGTAATTCTACCTGTTCCTCGAAGGTAAAGGCCTGAGATATCTCACGGGGGAAGCCATCCACGATGAAGCCCTCGGCACCCTGCCTCTTGATGAACTGGTGCTTGAGCTCCTCAATGGTCGTGTCCTGGAAAAAGAAAACTGGTAAATGAGCAGCCATTGCCTAGGGCTGCAACAAGATCCTAACAGCTTAGCACTTTTGCACCATATCATAGCCCCACATGCATAGCACAGCACCAGTCACATAGCATATCGCCAAATGCATAGCACAGCACCAGTCAAATAGCATATCGCCAAATGCATAGCACAGCACCAGTCAAATAGCATATCGCCAAATGCATAGCACAGCACCAGTCACACAGTATAACCCCAAATACGCATAGCAGCAAATGCATAGCATAGCAGCACATTTACAGCCTAGCAGAGTCTCATACTGTACCTGTGGTGCTAGTTCCCCATTTGCAATGATCTGAGCAATTAACTCCCATTTCCTATCACTGGGAGCATGGTGCAGCAGTTGGTTCCGTAAGATTTCTCCCACCGAGATGCTCTCATAATTATAGTGGCGTGCCATTTTGGAGGTCTGGGTGCCCTTCCCACTACCCGGCCCACCTGGTGAAGGGAAAGCAAAGATGTGGTCGAAATGGGGTCAACCAAGACCCCCAAAAACCATTTCGACACACATTTTCTGTGGCTCTAATGACAAGACTCACCTATAACAAAAATGATCTGTGGCCGGGGTTTGGAAGGACCAAAGACGTCATATTCCTGAATCAAGCCAGAAGTCTCAGTCATGTCGGAATCACTTTCAATTGAATACTGTGCCTGGATAGGGGGTAGCCGTTCATATCTGCGGTATGGACCTATCCCGGGGCCTGGGCCAGATTCTGTGTGGACAGGAATAAATGCCCAACATAGAGATTAGATGTGCATTAGCCTTAATAATTTAGATATCTGCACTCATTCAATATTTAATAGTAATTAAATCAAAGATTCCAATATATGTAGATTGCTTCTTGCATCACCCAATATTTTAAATTAATTCTCACCTAAAAAAAAACTGTTATCTCAAAGCTGAAAGGTTTTTTAATTAAAAAAAAAACCATGGAATATAAAATCTTACAATATTCATTAATCCTTCACCTTCAAATGAACTCTTATTCACACCTATGGACAATTAGGCAACTCCAATTCACTATAGTACATTTTTTTGACTGTGGGGGGGGGGGCATGGAAAGAACATGCAAGCTCCACACACATGGAGCCTGGCCAGACACTCGAACCTTGGCCCAAAAGGTGTGAAGCATCAGTGCCAGCCTGACCAGACTATTCTATATTCAAAAATAAGGTGTTTGGCTATATAAAGGCAATTCAGTAGAGAGTGGTTACCTTTACAGCCAAGAACTCACCCGACCTTGAAGCAACCTTTCTGCCCTGGCCTACACTGAGCGGGGGCAAAGGTCGCCGCTCAGGGGTAATGAACGTGTCCCAGGACACACGCTCTGGCCCCCCGAGTTCCCGCACTTTCTGCAGGCAGCCTTCCAGGAAGAGCACAGGGTCCTCCGGCCGGTGGTACATCAGTCCAGTCAGCATGCTCTGCCAGGGAGTGAGGACACACATCAGGAGACCATTCGCGCCAAAGGGTGCTTCTGATCTCCGTGTAGAAACATGCAGAAACATCCCAGTGTTCAATAGCGGCTTCTAGAACATCACAACCTCCATTACATCATAAACGAGGTAGACGGTGGATTCGAAAAACTTACAGTATTACTGTTATTAACATAAGGGCAAAATAGGCTGTTAATTAAAATAAGTAAAAATAAAGTAAATTAAACTATCACAGGCTTTCAAAAGGTGAAACTGAATCTGTCCTTCAATCACTCAGGAAACTCAAGGTTTCCCATTTCCTGTATGAGTAAACAAGCAAGCAGAAATCAGATACTTGTGAGAGCCACTGCTTCCACAGACAAAAAGGCTTTATAAACCCTGTATTTAGAACTTAATTACACATACCTGATATGCTGGTAAAGGACTATATTTTGCATTTTATACTACAATGACGATGCCTTATACACGGGGAGGAATGCATTAACATATCACTCTTAATATTCATTGGAATATGAAACATGAAAATATTATTGGGTACATTAATTTTAATTTAAATGTTTCATAACTTCTATATTATTTATATTAGCAATGAATACTTATATGGTCCTTCTTTTACTCCCTGAAAGTATCCCTGAAAAAACAAATTAGCTGCTATATCTTGCTATTATATTTCATTGAAAAATCAGGCTTTATCCAGATTAAGATTTTAGTACTTCACAAAGGTATTTAACCAAATCATTTTAGGTTTAAAATCATATATAGGAGCTCGTATACATTAAGGAAATATGTCAGCAGTAATTCCACCCCAAGAGTCTCGCTACGTTTCTGGTTTTCTTCCTGTGCTGACTGCTTCACCCCAGTTGAGCCTCAAAATGGATATGCAACAACTCCGAGGATTAGCTGTGAAAGTGAGAAGGAAGCAGGGATTGTCCTCTGTGTTCTGGAAAGAAATGCTGGGTGAAGGAGAGGTCAGACAGGAAAGGGAATGGAAATGCGCCAACCATGTGGTACGAGGAAACAAAGTTATTACTGGAATGCACAATTTAGACTGGAACCAGTTATGAAGTTAAGAAGACTGTTACTAAGATAAGGAGGCTATGTGCGTTACACCTGTGAGTCTGGAGACTCTATAGTCTGGGTTAATTATACTATATTAAACGCATAAATATATTACTATATCTACTCCATTTATGATTATAAAACACAATACTCCCCAAGAAATACATTGTTCCATAACACCTCTTTTTGAAAAGCTGGTCATTCTAACAGCTACGAATAATTGACATGTATTCAGAAAATCAACAGTAAGGCTATAGTTTTTTTTTTTTACTTAAGTAGTAATAGATATTCCACGGTTTCTCATAACCACCAATGCAGTGATCTGCAAGCCTATAACACCTGAATAGCGTAGAGTAATTTTCGATTGTGGGAGGAAACTTGAATCAACATCATGAAATAACAAAATCTATAGCAGTGTCTCCCAATCAGGTTCTCGGGGACCCACAGGCAGTGCACGTTTTTGCTCCTTCCCAGGTCCCGGTAGGGAGCAAAAATGTGAACTGTCTGACAGGGAGCTCAGATGGAGCAAAAACATTAACCGACTGTGGGTCCCCGAGGACCAGATTGGGAAACACTCATCTATAGGAACCAAACGATACCACTGTTTACGCAAGTTCAGTTGATAAAATAAGATAGCAGTATTGCAAGGGACGAGTCCGGCCAAAATGAACATTAAAATAGCTGTGGGGAAAGTTGGAAAGTGGCCCCACGCCTCCTGAGTTGTGTGTATTATTCCCTGTCGGCTCTCTGTGAGCGTGGAGCTTGAAGTTTCTCCCTGTGTTTGTGTGGGTTGCCTTTGGTTTCCTCTCACAGTCTAAAAACAAGCTGTTACGGAAAATGGATGGATGGATATTAAAACAGGCAACCACTCACTGTAGGTCAGCCCAGTGAGCTTCAAAAGAAGCTCTAATCCCTTATCTCTCTCTCTCTCTGTTTTTCACTGCGTAAGAGCGTAAGCAGGCAAATTGAAAATAAAAAAAAATCTCGAATTGCGTTTTCAGTGCTCTTATCAAATGAGTTGAACAGCTTTCAGTCCTCAAACAACAATTATCAACTAATCCTAGATTAATCTTCTAAAATGTCAGAAAATGTAAAATATGGAACAGGAAATACAGGATGCTGAAAAGGTGAATTTGCCATCATTTTCAGGAGAGGGGAACATCTCGTCCATCAACAACATACCCACAACATATCCACAACATGCGCACAAAGCTACCTCAGGAGGTACTATTTTTCAGGGCTCAACTTACTCTACCTGTATCATCACCTCATTCTGGCAGAGTGTGAGAGTAATGAGATGACCTGGGGTAAGAGACAGAGTGAAAACTAATTGCAAATCACTGCTCTATTCATTGCTTCAAGTCTGAATTCTGATTTCCAAAGCCACCCAGAAAGGACAGAGCTCTATAAACAAAGAGAGAATCTCCTCCTTCAATTCATTTCTTCTTGAGATGCAAATACCCTGAATATCATAGCTAAGTATTTACATGTTAATTCACTATAGAAAAGGCACAAGCAAATGAATAAATAACAAGCCGAATACTTAACATGGAGAAAATAAACAGAGTTCATCTTGATCTACTTTCATCACTAAAATAAACTTGAAGTCTGTTAACAGGATTGCAGAAGGCCGATTTTACTTTATTTCGAGCGTTACGTTGTACTGAGTGCCCCCCTTCCAGTACATGCTAATTCAAAAGAGCTACGCAGCACAGCACAGTGACAATCTGTTCATTTAGCAAAATGTAGGCATCTAAATTCTATGAAAAGAAAAGAATAAAAACCATCTATTGATGAAACACAATGTGCAGAAGCCATTAAGAGGAAAAAATCGAAGTAGTAGTACACCAGTAGTAAAGAGACTGGTCTAGAGGTATCCAACAGTAAGACATTAAATGTCTTACATACGACATCCCACCACCGACACAGTCCACATATTCATATCTGTATGGGGACTCTCATTCATTTCATTTCTTATTCATTTATATGGGCATAACCCTAATTCCAGTTACCTTAATGCCAACCCAGCCCTAACTTCAACCATAAGTAACCAAAGAAAATACAAGACTGTTGGCATTTTTTTTATTGCATTCACAAGTCTTTCACAGAAAAATGTCCCCACAAAGGAAAAAAGTTATAGGTTTTTATCACAAGTGGGAAAATCTAGTCCCCACGATATAAGAATCACACACACACACCCTGGCTGGCTTAAGCACAATCCAGCCAGTATTCTGGCTCAGGATACACCTACATCAGATCATCCCCTTGGGATCAGCATCTTTTATCTTACCAGAGAGAACATGCCTGCATCTCCACATTAGATAAAATATTCCCAGTAGAAAGAACATCATGTAAATAACGTGGTATAAAGCAGAAGGACCAATGTGAAACAGTCTATTGATGTGGCATTCATCAACCTGCTGATGGGTCATCTGGAGTTCATGTGAGACCCACAGAACTTCTACTTAACTGCATATTTTAGTAAAGGAACAACAAGACTGATAAAAGCTGAGTCCGTTACTTATCATAGTAAACCTCAATTTACTTCACTAACCTAACTTCCATGTCATTGAACCATTGAAAATCTACAACCCAAAAACCTGAACAAAAAAATATGCAGCATCAATGAGTTGCAGGTAAATTCAACAAGATCACGAGCTCACATGCCCTAAGAACAAAACTGCAGATTGATTCACCTTCAGAAATAACACAACACAAAGCTATGGGAGTCCTGGGAAGCCAATGGCAGAGTTTTTGGAAATCAGACAGAGGCAGGGGAAGCATAGTAAGTTGTAAATATGTAGTATTTTTCATGGTAAAAAATAGGATTACTACATAATCACACCGTAGTAAGGCAGAAAATCACTCTGACTGACCAATTGCTTTTAGTTAACAAAAATCTCAATGCAAACCCAGAATTCTGAAGCGCCTCTTCATATGTTACGTTCCTGTCACCCCTCAAAGCCCTTCACCTTGCACTCACAAAGCAAAGGAATGTAACAGCTGATTTATAGGTACGGCCAAGCCATTGAACACCTCAGGCTATTTTGTCCTCGTCAATATATAAACTTTAACAAACTCTAAATACATGTTTCTCTTTCACAGCAAAACCTTGACACAGGGATAGCTTGAGTATAAAAACATGGCTGGGTGAAGAAAGACTAAAGACAGATTTAATTTGTAAGAGAATATAATATTTAATCTTACAGGAAAAGAAAGGTATTCTGTACTTAAGGTTTAATACCTTTAGAACACAAAGCAAACGCTTATGCAACAGAAGTGTACTTTGAACAGCTTGACCTGGAATCTAATGAAGGATAGAAGTAGTCTAGAAAAATGCAATTTGCATACTGTATATACCTCTCATTGAGTCCTGTGTATAAATTACAATAATGCAAAATCCAAAAAATCTCCCTTTGCTTTTCCCTTCCCCCACTAGACAAGGTTTAATGTTTTGTCCGTCCTTCATACAGAAAACAACCAAATACTGCAAGTAATAAGAAAAGGAGAGGAGGGAGGAGGAGCGAGAAAAGTCCCTGATCAAGTGACCAAAACTCCCCAGCAGACAGGCACAAGCATATAGATTTCAGTTACTCTGCCTGGTTCTAAACACGGGTAAAGGTGCAGTTACCATCACAACCTTCTGAGAGCTGTTAACTGTTGTAACAAGGACTTCTTTCGAGATGCAGACACCGATATTCTTTGTCATTTCACTTCCGGGTTACTGTAATGTAATTGTTTAAAATAATTTTTCACCTTTGCCTATATTGTAGAAAAAATTATGTAGAAAAATCGAGGAGGCCTGCACAGCATTGGTGCATGGCTAGGAGGCCTGCGCTCCATTGAGAAATATAGGTGCCAGAAACTCTGATGAGATGAAGGTCCACAGAAAAGCACATTCATTAGCTTATACATTATTCACATTTATGCCGCAAAAGCTTAGGAGATTACAAGTCAAAACATGAGGAGAACAAGAGATGGCAGAACCATCAGTCATCAATGTCTCGTGCGAGACGAAAACCATCCTTCTCACCCTAAAAACCACAAAATAGTCATTTTTTAACATGTAACATAATGATACAGCATTCATGTACAGGTCTACAACCACCACTATAAAACCGTATATACTTTTTCAAATACTAAAGGACAAATCAAATGCACAAAATGTTTCTTTAAATCTTCTATATATTTTTTTCTTTGTCACAAGAAACTTTTAAAGAAACAAGCAATTTGCACAAGCACATAGGAGTGCTTCACTTTACTGGTCCCATCTTGCTCTCCATAGCATGAGGGGGGGTCACAGCACAGGGTCAGCTAACGTGCAGCACCCCTGCAGCTGGGGGTTCAGGGCCTTGCTCAAGGTCCCACAGATGTGACGGTTCTGCCAAGTGCAAAGCTTCATCCGCTCACCACCGCAAAGGGAGGAATGGGGAAGTTTAAGCCTGTTATCTTCTGATCACAAGACAGACACTTGGCCATTTGGCCACTTTCCATTTAGCTATTGTAATTAAAGTACTATTCAATAAATTATTGTTTAAACCATCATTCATCCATTTTCCACCTGGTTATCCTAGTCGGCGTTAAGTGGAGTCCATCACAGAGCTGGGGTACTCCCTGGGCGGGATGCCAGTCCATCACAGAGCTGGGGTACTCCCTGGACGGGATGCCAGTCCATCACAGAGCTGGGGTACTCCCTGGTCTATTGCAGGACAC